TAAGAGTTTATTGCTATTTATGATCATTATGTCCAAACATGGGCACAGCTTTTTCCTAACCAAATAGTGTAAAGACGTGAATGTAAATGTATTTGTACATAATTTATATATTACAGAAAAGCGTTTGATTATGGTATCAAAAGGTCATCGAAATTTTAAGAGCAAGTGAGGTCTATGAACAAGATTCGCTCATCATCTTCGAACTGCATTGGCGTCAAACGTAGTATAGAACTTCAGAAGACGTACTGATTAAAAAGTGCGACAAAGTCGTGTCTTATCTCCACAGATTTTGAACCTATATTCAGCTGTTATCTTTAGAGAGACATTAGATAGAGTTTAGAGCGGAATTAAGACCAAACACTACTAAAATGTAGAGTTGCATGCAATGAAACAAGTGGAATCTCTGAAATATCCATTATTTGTTGATGCGACTGAAAAACTTTCATTGGAATGAAAACTTTTTTTACAGGAACGGATCTTACAATAGAGATTGGAATGTGAATGATAAGGTGTTACGTATTATCTGCCTTGCCCTATAGGACTCTAGAATGAAAGTTTCGTGCTGCAGTTTTGAAAGTTACAGAAATATATATCTAGACAACAACCGCATGGAATTTTCAGACAGCGACAAAACTCTCTGTTGTAATAGTCGTGTATTATGTAAAAACTATCATAATGGTGTTTGGAGAAATTCTATAAAACCAATATTTATAAGCAGTCTGTATATTTTATCTGAATTTTAGTACCAGGAAGGTTCGGCCTCCTGATTAAACTGGCACTTAAACTTAAGACACTGACTATTTTGAGCAAAACTGTTTTTCGCGAGTTTATGATTAGAACATTTTGTTTGCGCGAGAGTGACGCAGATAACTTCCAGATGTTTTTTCAGTTCAAGGTTGGCTTCAGGTCAATGTTGCCTTTCCCCAGAATATTGTAGTGGCTTAGAATTCATGCCAATTTCCAAACTTACCAATCTTGTTCTTAATATGCCAGTTTTGTCTCGGTAAAGTTGGCCCAACTAATCAAAATTACGCGTTTTGTGTGAAATATGTAATACTAGCAACCGGTTTAAAATTCCAGAACGTTTTATAAGTTTTCGATAGGCGATTGATTGACTGCTCGACGTCCATTTTAATACTGGAATGGCAAGCTGCACCATCGTGTTGGAAGATAATATTGTTTAAACGCAATTTGTCTGACTTGGGATATTAAGTTACTTTGGAGCACATGAATGTAGTTATCAGCATTCATAATACCCTAAACAAAGCAAATTTCCTACTCCACTTGCTGACAAGGATCCCCAAATCATAACAGAAGCCGGAAACTATGGTTAACACAATCCTTCTATCGCCAACGCATACTTCAAATCTGGCTTCTTTAACAATGGAGTTAAATTGGGTCGGAGACCATTGCTTGTAATCATTTGCCCAGGCTAATCAGTTTTTCTTCAGAAACTATGTATTTTGACTTCTGAGAGGCAAGTTCTTTTCTTAGCAAGTAAAAGCAAATATTAATGGGCCCAAAACTGAACTTTGTGGTAGGTCTTTGGCGATTGGAACATAGTAAGACTTTTCCAAATTAAATTTTCTTTCCAACTTCAACACAATGCCTGGTGTTACTTAGATACTGCTCGATAAGTTTAACTCAAGAAAGTGAAAAACCGAAACAAAGTTTTCGTTCCTTACTAAAGCCCAAAAAAGGTAAACCAGTAATCTGTTGGCTCTTACATCGTTGTTGGCGAATCACCCTGTTAGTTGCTACAGAACTTAGCTGGAACTAGTTTTGATTAGAACATATCGCAGATGTTAGACGTCTTAATTCTGCGTTCAGTCTTTCAGCTTGAGCTAGTTCTACGGCTGATGATTTTTTGGTCATTAAAGTCTATGCGCGTAGGTTTTCTGTAAACCAAATGTTAGTTCCTATTTTCTGTTAATACAAATATCTAACAATGTGAGATTATTATTAGTTTCTAATTCAGTTGCAGCATTTATGTTAAGTTGTATAGGGCGTAAATGGTTTACAAAATATTGGATTGATTCTTGACCATGAGGCCACATAACAAAAGTATCATCAACTAAGCGTGGTTTTGGTTTTAGATGGCCAGTGTTGAGATTGGATTTCTCTTCAACGCTTCCATAAATATATTTGCAATTACTGGTGATATTGGAGAACCCTTAGCTGTTCTTGACACTTGTTCATAAATTTGACCGTCTTAAAAAAACTATGTTCCAGACAAGCATTTTGCAATCAAGATAAGAAGATTTGATTCCAGATTAGTCGAAATCAACTAAAACATCGTTTGGAACCAATCTAATAGTTTATAAATGTTCAATGAATTGGAATTAAGTACAAAACTATCAGATTTCCCTTAAAGGCTTTTAATATGGAAGTAAGATATTTCGTTAGAGAATAATAATAATAATAATAAATAGCCTTTATTCGGTTTCAACGGAGATATTTTACAAAAATATATAACTGTGGGGGCGGCATGCAACCCCCTAAAACGAGTATATGACACAATTTATGAAATAAAATATAGCAAATAAATTATATAGACATTCATTCAAAATGGTAGACACTGCTAGAGTGAATTCAAAAAAGAAATACTTATATAAAATTTGATAGTTACTAGTTTTATGATCGGTCTCTATTAAGATAAATGTATTGCTTAAGTTTTTGTTTGAATGAAGTTAGCGTGGTGATTGATCTCAGTTGGAGAGGGAGTTTGTTGTAAGCCTTGATAGCATTGTACGTAAAACTGCGCTGAAACTGTGCTGAAGTATGTTTGGGAACGTCAAACAGCCCCCTATGGCGAATATTAACCGAATGAATATCTGATCCACGAGTAAGTTTGTCAAAAAGATACGTCGGACGTTGGAGAGATATTACTTTTTTAATTAAGACTAAAAGCTGCGACTTAAAACGTTCGTCTAATGTTAGCCAGTGAGAATCCTCTAGGCTAGTAGATATATGATCAAATTTACGAATATTGTATGAGAATCTGAGACAGGCATTCTGAAGACGCTGAAGACTAACCTTGTTCTTCTGAAGTAGGGCAGGCCAGTAAACTACCATACAGTATGAAATTGTGGATAGAATTAAGGAATCGGTAAGTTTTAACTTAATTGCTGTGTCCAGAATATCTTTATTACAGTAGAGAATCCGAAGCTTGTAAAACGATTTCTGGATCAATGAAGCTACGTGACCTTCAAAACGCAGATTATTATCCAAATGCAGTCCTAGATTTTTGCATTCGGCAACCGGCCGTAAGAGAAAGCCATTTAAGTAAATTTTGGCAGCATCTAGACTAATTATTTTTCCTTTATCTTTACCAAAAATTATGAGTTGCGACTTATTTTCGTTAAGTAAGAGACCGTGCTTACTATCACGTACTATATCACTGTTTATATTATTAACTGCGGTATTAATTTGAGAGTAATTAAAAGAGAGATATACTTGAGTGTCGTCTGCGTACTGATGGGAGGAACAATGCTTAATAAATTTACAGAAGTCGTAGGTGTAAACGCAAAAAAGGATCGGACCTAAAATTCTACCCTGTGCTACATCTTTGGGAATATTTACATAATTGGAATAGCTGTTATTGAAGAATACTCTTTGACGCCAATCAGAAAAGTAACTTTTGAAAAACTGCAACGCACCAGCCCCAACACCAAAGTATTTCAGTTAAGCTAAGAGCAGGCGGTGGTCCAAGGTGTCAAATGCATTGCTATAATCAACGAATATTAAGCAAGTATTCAGGCCTACATCATTTCCCCGATATATATCATCACAAACTTTTGAAAGAGCCGTATTTGTACCATAATGTGCCCTAAAGCCCGATTGCGTTGGGGGTAGAATATTGTACCGCGTTATAAAATCTCCAAGCTGCTTCTCAACAACTTTTTCTAACACTTTAGATATAGTAGGGAGAATGCTAATAGGTCGGAATTGAGAAACATCATGCGGTTGAGATGTTTTAGGGACAGGAATGACGTTAGCGTATTTGCAGGGTTTAGGGAATTTGTTAGTAGACAAGCACTTATTAATAATATAGATATAGATAATTAAGAATATGTTAAAGAATCAATGGTGGTAGCAATGAGTAGAAGGGTAATCCCGAACGGTGAATCTTGTGTGTGGTGTGACAGATTTTTTTCGCGGATTGTAATATAGAAGCTTTTATAGCGATTTGGACTCATATGACGCAGGAGAATCCAGAAGATGTATAAATAATATTAGAAGAGCCGATGGAAGTTTCTTTGGAAAAATCTGCGTCCTATCTTGAAAAGAGCAAATATCGGTTAGAAATTTAACTAGTTAGACTAGTTGAGGTACTAAATTGTGGTCTAAACGCTAACTGACAATCTGAAATAATCTGTAATAAACTTGTAAAAGTAAAGAATTGTTGCAACGTGTGCCTTTTTATGATTTTTGAATAAATTAGAAGTGTGCTAATTAGTCTTAAATTCAGTATTTTTGGAACTGGTTTAATAAATGCCTTTTTGTTTAATGGAGGGAAAATAGTTTTTTAATATGGAACTATTAAGGGTGTTTACTAAGGGATTTAGATAATATGGAAGACTGAACTTGCAATGATGAAATTCCATCTCCTCCAATTACGTTAGTTTTGGTTAGTAGAAATTTTATTTATGATCTCTGGGATAAATCAACTAAATAGAACCATATACATTCTGTCTAAATGGGAGAAAAAGTTTTATAAAATATTTGTAAGTATTATGATATTTCCCAATAGCAAAGATTTCGCCGTCATTATAAATTTTTGAAACCACATCCGGTCAAATTATGGGATGACGAATGAGAAAATGTGTTTATTTCGTGAATGAATTAGAGGAATGAAAGTTATTTTCCCGAAAATCTAAAGACGTCACGCACGGTCCGAAAATGTTTGTTTAAAATTAGCTTAAAGTTCTATTTTAAGGAATCGAGTGCCGGCATTTTCGATAAACGAAAGGTAAATTATAAACCCGATAATTTTTCAGGAAAAACCTAATTAACCAAGAGGCGAAATTTCAAAGTCAACTGAATGACCTCTCGAAGCAACTTTCCGTTCGCGATGCTGAAGCAAACAAACTTCGCTTCGAGATGGAAGAACTGCAAAGAGACGTGTTTGCAAAATCTGCTGGAATGGATAGTAAGCAAAGGTTCCTAAAGTCGTTAAAACCGAGATTATCATTTGGGCGTAACGTTGCAGGGCTTCAATCCGAACTCAATGCTGCCAACAAAGAGTCTGACGCAATTAGACAAAAAATCCGCCATTTAGAGAACGAACTTGAGACCTACAGGATACGAAACAACGAATTGGCCGACGATCTCAAAAACAAAACCGGCGAGTTGCAATTTTTTTTTCGATTTTGAATTTTTGTAGTCAGCACTGCGAGGAGATAGATTGGCTGCACGTTTTTCACCGTTTGATTCTGTCCGTTAGTTTTCTTTGCCAATCCTGTACTCGAAGTTCCCCTGAGTATTTCTCTACACAGCCGCTATACAGGCGTGCAAAAAATGTCAAGCGATGAGCAACCATCATCGGATGTCCTTGAATCAGGAATTTTGGCAGCTCTCGCTCTCTTCACTCGCTCCTTTATTACTGAGGATCGTGACTCCCCCCAATATATTAGACCATCTGTTTCCACCTCTTGTTTCCTGCCTGAATAAGACCGCTGTTTGTTAAACTTAACCAGATGGCCCGTTTGGTGATTTACCTCTTGCTGTCTTTACTCTTCTTCGAGGAACGTTTCCGGAGATGATCAGTCTCTTTAGATAATCTTAACTTAACAACGGCCGAAAATCTGAAAGACCCATATTGATGACAGTCAAGTTTTTATCGTTAGGTCTACAGCACCACATTGGATCAGGGAAGAGCCAAGTTTCAGCACCGTTCACAAAAATGGAGAAGGCGAAAGCTTTTAGGAGTCTAATTTTTGTTTTCTTGGAAATTGAGAAATCTTTCCATAATTTGGTCAGTCGGCCCACGGCGCTTTTGTATCGACTATAATTAGTTGACTTGTGTTCTTACTACTTTTTAAGCGGCCCTTTTGTTCTCGTATTCAACTCGTCTGAGAACTTGCATCATTTCTCCTTCTGTTACCGCTATGACGGTGGTATCTTCGAACAAATCTTAAGTTGAATGTGAATGATGATACCACACAACCCTGTCTGATTCCCCGTTAAGTTTGAAATTATCCTGAGAACGTATGGTCCAAACTGAGTGCCATATTTGATTCATACAGATTCTTTACAATGGTTACAAGTTGGGTTTGGCAGCCATTATTTATTATCATGGTCTAAAGTTTTGCCCAGCTGACACAGTCGAATGCCTTCTCGTAATCAAGAAAGCATACAATCAGGGGCACCTGAAATCCTCTATCCTTTTCAATAAGCTGCCTCAAATTCAATACTTACTCTTCTTCACAAAACTTGCGTATTTTTCAGGTATTTGTTAATCTAGATATGCTTTGAGTCTGGTTTTTAAAATTTTGAATAGTATTATACTAGTGTTTTGTAATTCTTGCACCTTTTGGTAGTCTTTTTTTATGTGTTCCATATAACCATAACCATAACCATAACCATATGAAGTGACTTATAATAGTTCTCCTAGTAAGGAGTCAATACCTGTCAGGTTCCTTGAAACAATTATTTATCTGACACATTTTTACAGTAGATCTGCACCATATTTTCTGCGATCAAGTGCTGTGGTATGAATGGTTCACGTTTTGTGGTCGTTAGTGATGCGTAGGCTTTGGAAGTTTCCATCATCTTATCCCTTAACCAGTTACAGCTCCTTTCGGGATTATCTTGTGATCTGGACTTGGTTTATTTTCAAGATCCGTCTGAGAATCTTGATTTTTCGACAGATACAGCATCACCTTCTTCTGTCTTTTCTGTTGTTTTGTCGTGGTAAACCTTCGAGGTCTGAAATTTAGGGCTAAGAGCTGGTCGTCGCTTCCACAGGCTGCTCCTAGGGTCCAGCATCTGATCGTGCTCTGACCAAGAATTGTCGGAGGTAGCATTCGTAGCCAAAAGATTCTCTGCCATATAGACGTTCACCTCTCTCGTTCCTCTGGTCCAGTCCGAAATGTCCTATGAATCTTTCTAATATTTTCCCCAGTTGCCGTTGAAGTCTCCCAAGGTTATTACTAGGTCATGGTTTGTGATAGTCGCAAAGACCTCTTCAAGATGAGCATAGAATTCATCAGTGTCTGCTTGTTGGGCTGGGAACATAGACTTGAAGAAAATTTGCAATGCTGGTAGAGGATTTTACTTTGACATGGATAATTCTGTCGTCGACTGAATTGTATCCGATAAAGGAGATGTTTAGTGTCGAAGATGTAATATATTGCAACACCATTCATGTTCATACTCATGGTTTCTCATGTTCTTAAATGTCCATTGCCACGCTAGTGGGTTTACGAAAGTCCTTAAATTGTCATATCATAACCCTTTGCCTAGAACTTTGCCTTCTATTATCAGTTAACGCGTTTTTCTTTCCGTGGTATTCAAAGCATTCATTAGACCTTTAAGAAAAGCCAAGCCATATAGACTCGATGAATTTCCTATCAGTTTTTTGTTAGTTATTTATCTACTTAGTAGTGAAAATCAAAAATATATTGCAGAAATTTACAATAACTATGAATACGAGACCAAATCCAAGATCAGCGAGCTGGAAGGGGTAATCAGCAACCTCAGAGTAAGGATACAAAACCTGGAAGATCAAATAAAGCAGCTGCAAGAAGAAAAGGAAGATCTGGAAAGGAGACACGCCGAACTGCAATCGGAACGCCAAGAAGAACAAAAGAAACTATCCGAAACGGTAGACGGTGCCGTGAAACAAAAAGAGGAAATTGAAAAAAAATGGAAGGAAGATTTCGAGAAACTTAGAACGATTAACATTTTGAAGGAGCAAGAGCTTTTGGACGATTTCGAATGGAAATTAAGAGAAGTGCAGTTGACGTGCAAAAAAAAGTTGGACGACAAGGATAAGGCGATAGAGGAAAGATTGCAAGAAGCTTATAAAGAAGCTCAAAGAAAGATGACCGAGGCCGAAGACATGTTGACTCAAGTAAGGTTTATAGTTGTTGTTGCAAAATTGAGTTATAAGAATCACTTTTCAGGTAGAATCGCTAAAATCGTACGAACTGGAAGTCCAAAAACTTCGCGGTCGAACCTTCGAACAAGAAAAAAACTTGAAAGAAATGCGCGAGCAGCAGCAGCAAATGATGCAAGCCGAGGCGAATCTCAAAAACGAGACCAAAAGACTGTTAAATTTAATAGAAATAGAGAAAGAAAATTTACAACACATCCAGAGGATCCACCGACAGGAGCTACTAGACAAGGAGAGGAAACTGAAGGAAACTTTAAATCAGAAGAGGACCGAGATCGCTATGTATTGGGAAGAGCGATTGTTGCACGAGTGTGGCAGACTCAAAGACGAGCTTGAGCAAATACACAACGAAGAAAAATATAAGGCGATGGAGTCGGTTAGAAAACAGAAAGACGAAGAGTTTCAGAAGAAACAGAACGAATGGGAGAAGAAATTGAGGCAGTGTCTGAAGGAAGTGGGTATAGGTTTACTTACTAGGTTTACTACATTGATTGAGTAGAAATTCTAAGAGATTGACAAAATTCCATTGTCTTTAATTTTTGTTTGCACGACGCTTTGAGCAGACTAATTTTAATTATAAGGCCATGAGGCACGTGCGCTCTATTAAGTTTTTGACTGGTCTTGGAATGCTATAGATGTTTCTTTTGTTTTTATTGAATACATCCTATTTAAACTTGTGGTTCCGTGGTTAAATTCCCTAATATTCCAAATTCCAAATTCACAGTGTATTTAGCAGTTATAACTTTCTGTTGAGTCGATGTTCCTGGCTTTATTCAAGTGTAAGTGTGCTTACTAATGTCCTTCCGGACTTGAATAGAATCTCAACTATGTAATGTTTCGCTGTTTGTAATGTTCACGTTTTCTGAGATTCCCTTCGCGTATGGGATCGTCAAGAGAGATAGTATCTACCTCACATCATTCTGCTGTTGTGTTGCGTTTACAATCTGATAATGTCCTTTTTAAAACTGATTAATTCTATATCGAGTGAGATTCCTAGTTTCTTTGCTTCGGAATGGTTACACCCAAAATTTTAGATACCGTTCGGCGCCTAGCCCAAAGTTCAGAAGCTTAGAAAACTATTAATTCAGCAAGAACGTTCAATAAACAAGTACTGAACTTGACAAGCATTACAAGTAAGAACTGGGTATACTATTTTAAAAGACTTTTGGAAGAAAGAGTGTCCAATTTCTGGGGGAACACCAAATCAATGATTCCAAGAACATAGACCTACCCCTAGAAACTGAATTAAAAGCAGTGAACAGTGAAAGATACAAAGTTAAAATTTCTACGGGACCCGGTGGAATATATAATACACATACACAATGCTGTGGTGTTTATTTAAAAGATGCTTAAATGGCGAAGAACCATCACCTGAATGGAGAATCTCCAACTTTTCTGTTATCCATAAAAAGGTTCAAGACATGACCTAATAGAAGACCATATTAAAGGCTAAACAGCCAGAGGAAAAGGCAGTATTTCGAACAAATAACCTTTTTACTCTGAAAATAGCTCTAGAAAAGAGAACTAAGCGAAATAGAGATACACATATAGCGTTCATAGATCTAGAAAAAGCGTACGATAGCGTCCCAATAATCAAATAATCCCAATAATAAAATGACGAGGCTAGATATTTGGAAGTGATGTCCAATAAGCATGGAAATAGTAAAGATGAAATCCAACAACGAATACCAAAAGCTAAAAAGGCTATTGGAGCCATCAGTTCTATACTTTGGGCAAGAAACATTAGACTAAAATTTAAACTCCTACCATGAGTGTGACTCCAACAAATAGAAGAAACTTACCGGCCTCAGATTTTCTGCGTAGAAGCTGTCAGATATCGATACTCGAACTGATAACCAATCAGACGTAGCATAAACACCGAGACAAATATCATTGACAACCTAGAGAGAAAACAATTGACTTGGTTCACGCATGCAAAAAGAACGGACGGGACGAGATGGTCATAAAAAATATTGGAATGGATACCTATAAAAAAGTGCAATAGAAGGAGACCAAGGAGAAGTTGGAAGAATGACATTGAATAATCGACGGAGAAATGCGATCTAGAGAAAGAAATGTGTCATAGTAGGAAATATTGGAAACTGGAATCGTTAAGATATATGTGTAGGTTTCCTATATACAGAAGTGCTGGATAGAGTCATCATATCTACTTACACTACAACATCAAATGGTCCAAAGCTCCGGTGATTTTCAAGGATTCGCGAAACGTATAGTGTAGAAACACCTAGTAAAACATACTCAGGCTTCACTGCACCTGTATTGCAGACTGTATTACACGTGCGAGCGCTGTAGTCCAGTATATAAGCCTATCTCTCTATATTTCTAGAAGTGAGTTTACTTTTTACTTTTTTATTCTGGTTGCATGTTTCAGATTGAGTCGCTTAAAAAATCTCTGGACGAGAAAGACGAATACTACCACGAAGAATTGATCCGGGTGAGATCAAACACGGACCGAGATATAATGGAACTGCGAAGGTTGATGGACAAAATAGATATGGCTCACCACAATAATTATGAAAAGCTGGTAGAGCAACACGACTCGGAGTTGGGTATGGAGGTTGGTTTGGTTTTTAATTGGGGGTTACATTTTTGTTTTCGGTAGAAAAATTAAATTTGGAACACGAAGATCAAATCAGGGAAATCGAGACGATGTGGCAAAATAAAATGTCTTCACTTTCGTCGACGCTGGACGCGGTCAAAGAACAGATGGAGAAGGAATCAGAACAAAAAATCGAGTCCCTCATACAGCAACATCGAAACGAGTTAGGTGCGAATATTTTCCCAGCGAATATGGCGACACTTGATTTACCAAATTTCTTTTCAGACTCGCAGTGGGGTAATTTGATCCACCAGAAGTCCGAAGCGATCAAATTGGTCGAAAACGAATACGTATCGAAATACAACACGCTGGAGGAGCAATTTTACACGCAACAAAAGTCGCACACGGCCAGAGAAATAGAGTTGTTAAAGACAATCGATTCTTTAAAAAACGAACTGCAGAGTAAGGAGTCGACATTGGACGATCTTCAGAACAATGTCGACACGCTGGAAGGGGGCGTGCAAGTGCTAAACAACGAAATCGCCCAACAAGCGGAAACCATGACCAAAATGAAAAACGAGACTGATCAAAAGATAAGGTAAAAATTTAACAATAGCATGACGAACACGAAATAAACATACCTACTGAAAAGTTTCGAAACAAAATAAACAATTGCCTCAAACAATCATGGCATACCATAATAACAGCAGTAAAATGCTCTTAAGATGCAAACACTTGAACATAACGCAAGGAAAAATGATGCTCAGATTTTCATCAATTTTTTATTGAAACAAATAACAACTAAAAGTTCAGATTTTCACGAAATTATGTATTTTCACATGACAATTGTTTCGACAACACCGTGTCTTTATCAAATGTAATATTTACAAACTACCTGCTACTATATATACCGAAAAATGACCATAAAACGTTAATTAATGTTGTTGCGAGAATTTAAGTTCAATAAAGGAGAGCTATTTAAATCTAATTGATCGTTACTATACTAGAACATCCTTTAAGTAAAAGTTTTTTATGGTGGTATAGATACGTGGATGATGTCTTTGCTTGTTTTGTTGGAACGGACAGACAATTGAATTTTTTTTAAATTACATTAACTCATTACATAATCGTATAAAATTCACTATCGAGATTGAACAGTATAACTCTATTAATTTTTTATACTTAACTATTCCGAAAGCGTAAAACAAATTAGATTTTTCAATATATCATAAACCTTCACATACGGACACAGTCATACATTAACAGCTCAAATCACCCTTACACACACAAAATGGCTGCGTTTCACTCTTTTGTACACAGACTCCTTAATACGCCACTCTCAACAGAAAATTACAACAAAGAACTTAATATCATTAAACAAATTGCACTGAACAACGGCCACTACCCGTTCATTATAGATAAAATTATAAATAAAAACCAATACAGACAACAGTAAACTCTATTTATCCGAAACTTAATACAGAACACGAACAATTTAAAACAATTACATACATAGGAGAACCTAGTAAAAAAGTTTCAAAATATTTGTCAAAATATGGTTTAAAAATAGCTTTCAGAACTAACAACACAATAGAAAAATATTTAAAAAACAATAAAACGAAATGTCCAAAATTCCAAAAATCAGGTGTCTACAGGTTGAAATGCGGATCTTGTCCTAAAATTTATATTGGACAAAAAGGTAGATCTTTCAAGAAACGCATTAACGAACATAAAAGAGTGTTTAAAAACAATAGTCTAGATTCTAATTATGCAACACACTTAAACACGGAAAAACACATTTTTGACGATAATTTCGATGTTTTACATACAGCCACAAAAAGTAGAAAATTAAATTTATTGGAAGCCATGGAGATTAACAAAATGAGACATTCAAATGTATTGCTTAAGGATCAATTAGATTTAAATACCTCTCCATTATTAAACTTAAATTCTCACAACAACATTAATTAAGGTTTTATTGTAATTTTTCGATATATATAGTAACAGGTAGTTTGTAAATATTACATTTGATAAAGACACGGTGTTGTCGAAACAATTGTCATGTCAAAATATATAATTTCGTGCTTTTTACAAAACTTCTGGATTCCTCCTGCGTCCGTTTTTGCTGAGTCGAAATTACTAAGCAAAAACCGACGCAGAAGGAATCCAGAAGTTTTATAAAAAGCATTATAGTCGCCTGTGGAAGTTTCTTTGAAAAAAAAAAGTAATTTAATAGTGCTATTTTTTCGGTTACCCCAATATGTAAAGGATTTTAAATATTTGTTTTTAATAAGCAAACTATCTATAGAATTCGAACCGATAGAGTGAAAGCACTTGTTATATAAATTGTCATGTTAATATATATATATATATATATATATATATATATATATATATATATATATATATATATATATATATATATATATATATATATATATATATATATATATATATATATATATATATATATATATCGTGAAAATCTGAACTTTTAGTTCCTATTTATTTTGATAAATGGATTTTCATTAAGTAAAAGCCCCCTCAGTTCAATTTTTTAATGGTGTACAGAACAACTATTAATATCAAAAGGTGCTAACGAATTCTTAATTACAATGGTTGTGGGGTTTTTAAATTTAAATTTAAATTTAGCAACGGGGGTCTATACGTATCCAATTGACCATGAAGTAATATTCATGACTTCTGGAAGCACGATAAATTAAATCTTAAATCTTATTTAAAACTTTCTGTAGTAAGTGGTATCTTGAGCTGTCTGTGCATAAAAGAAAGAAACACTGCCATTTTTTATGTAACGGTGATTTGAGTTATTACGTAATTACTGCATCCACATGTGATAATTGGATAAATCGAATTTCTTGCGTAATTTAGTTATAGTTAAGTTCAGAAAGTTTAAAGAATTATGATTTTATGAGATTATGCAACGAGTTAATATGATTGCAAATTATTTCGAACTAGCAATGATATTCCAGCTTCTTTTGACGACCAAAATTTCCAGTATTCCACCTATCGCTGTAAAAAACATACTCAGGAGCAAACTAACCTTATCATAAAAAAAGATTTGATGGTTTGTTTAAACCAAAATTATTCTGAATTAAAAGATCAATTTTACATTTCTAATCAATTGTCAATCAATCATTTAGAAATTGCAGAAATGTTCATGGAAAATTGAGAAAAAAATAGACATGAATATGCTCTGAGTAGAAGTTTTCTTTTGTGGTCTAGATATCTGGATGATGATTTCACTTGTTTAAGTGAACCTGAAACACAACTACAGACGTTTTTACTTAATTGCGCAAAATTCACCAACGAGATAATTCTATAAACTCTCTGGACTTAATTATAACTAAATTACGAAATAAATTTTACTATTATACAATGACTTTTTTTTGTTCTTTCATCCGCAGATTGCGTAATATACCGCTTTCTACAAAAAATATTCAAAAATAATTAAATAACAAAATATTTTAACAATTATTGCCATCCATCTGCGATAAGAAAGAGTATAAACAGTTTAAAATAACTATGAACTCTGGAGAAAAGTTTGTAAATAGTACGAAAGTACTATACTATAAAGAGGTAGAATATCCAGGAAGCGCATAACGGATATAAAAGAGCTTATCAAAATGAAAGGTGGCATTATAATTATACTATTCATTTAAATACAGAAAATTGTGATAATAATTTCATAAACAAACTTATCGGAAGCAATGGATTTAATTTAACTTGATAAATGGATTTTTATACCTGTTCAAGTACATCTTAAAATTTTCTGGATTTTAATTTATTAAATTAATTTTAATTGACTTGCACTTATTTGTTGCTACGGTAGCACAACATTTACTTACGTTTGATGAGCAAACAAGGTAGCCTCTTGCGGGATTCTTTTATAACTCCGTAACTCCATAAGAATTGGAATATAAAAGTTGTTGTTTAAATGTGGTAATAACAATAATTGGCCCTATAAAGAGTATCTCCCAAGTAGTATCCCCAGAATCTTACTTTAAATGGTACACCATGTATATTATTTCATTTTTAAGAAAAAGAAATTTTATGGTAAGTTTCTTAAGATATATTTAACCCTTAAATATCTTGTTCAATTTTAAAACATTTAATGATGTTTTTTTTTAACAATGCGTGTTTAAGCCGTTACCAATCAATCATTCTCGAAGGTGCAAAACTTAAACACTTATTTTAGTATTTCATAATTTCTATCAAAATTTAATTTTTAATTAAAAACCATTACAATCTGGAAAATGCTTGCCTGGGACAAATTTTTCTTGTAACGGTCAAATCTATGAACAAACGTCAGGAAGAGCTAGGGGTTTTCCATTATCACATGTCATCGGAAATATATTTATGGAAGCCTTTAAGAAGAAAACCTTCAATAGCTTCCGCATAAAACCAAAATTATTGAAACGCTATGTTGATGATACTTTTATTATTTGGCCTCATGATCAAGAATCTCTGCGAAATTTTCTTACCCATTTAATCGATACACCCAAACATATGTTTTACCATTGAAACAAAAACTGACAATGATCTCCCATTTTTAGATATACTTATTGATATATAATCAGACCTAACATTGGGTTATTCTGTTTACAGAAAACCTGCGCACACAGACCGATACCTTATTGCATCCGGATAAAAAACCATAGATTATCAACTCTCTCGTTTACAAAGCCGTCAAACTATCTCAACACGAGTTACTGAACACAGAAATCTAATCTTGTCTGTAATAATTTATACATTATTAGAGATAATAAACGTTACATCACAAAATACACTTTACCATAACCTGACAAGACAATGAATCCGAAAGCAACGTCACACTTGCAACTGTTGTCCTTTCTTACATTCAAAATATAACTGATCATATACCAAAAGTTCTTTTAATAAATATAAAGTTAGAACCAGATTTACCACTTTTCATTTGAGAAATATGACGAAAAATATCAACCAGGCTAAAAGACTACGACAATTAAATTTATCAGCATTTTCCGAACACGTCCATGAAACCGGACATCAAATCTTATTCGGTAAAGATAAAATTCATGCATGTAATCAATGTTTCTATAAAAAAAAATAGAGAATTTATAAAAAGTAGTAAGGGCATGGTCGTACAAGTCAATAATTCATCCCTATTTTGTACAAGTCTAGAAAAAGTACATTTCTTTTATATAACCACGAAGTAGAAAATTCAATGACTACAAATAAGGTGATCTAGAAGGCTAGTTCCAGAGTTAACTTTATTGAAATAAATAAAACCAAGATGTCAAACTTGGTGAAACGTGGAAAAAACTTGGGCGTCTGATTGACTTGAAAATGAGAACATGCAAGAAAACTATTGAAAATGGTTATAGGAGAAAACATAGTCCATCAAAGTGAATTTAGATTGTGTATCACACTATACAGGGATGTTGTATTTAAGAAAAAAAGGAGTCTTGCATCTCTGAAAATGGTGTAATTAGTTGGTAAATCCTAGCCGTCCTGTAAGGCATGAATAAATTTTCCATACTGATTTTGAAACTACGATTCTTGTATTTGAAGTTTCATGCAATATGCGAAATGTTTTTAAAATTGGATTTGCCACTTCTTTCCCAAGAATCCGATATGGCTAATAAAAAGTATCCCCCAGGTTTAATTTTCATATTATATATAATATAGATGTTAGATAAAATTTGAAGTTAGGGGCTATTATAAAAACTGCCTACTGAAAATTGACTAAAACATTAAAAAAGATCCTAAAATATATTGGTCGTTTATTAAAAACAAATGAGGAATCTCAGGTCTACCAAGGCTATATTAGGAATTTTAATTATATTGAGTTACATACTGGTCAAGATATACTCAACTCTTTTGCACTATGTTTTAGACGGCCATCTTCTAACGAGGATTTCTTCAATAATTTGAATATGAGGTGGCCAAAGCTCTTGAGAAAAATAAATTTACAATGGGTCTAGATTCAGTTCCGACTAAGACTGTTTTCGCTAAACCGCTTGTAATAGTTTTGAATCATTTGGACAAACCAAGTCAATCGTGGTATATGGAAAAGGTACAAAATGGTTCCCATACACATAAAAGAGTGTATATCGCAAATCGTAAACTATAGGACTATTTTCCTTACCTACAATTTCTGTAAAGTTTTGGAATCGCTTCAATAAACAAACTATTTTATGTAATCTTTCAGTCAGTCTTTTTGTCTTTTCTAGCTCTTTTCTTTTATTAGAATTAATGCTTTTGAAGATTAGATAGATTAGGTATTATACTATTTTGTACTAAAACCCATTTATTAGTTAGGTAGACTTTTTTTAAATAAATAAAATAAATAGAAAACACCGAATTAAAAATGGTTAAAGAACGCATTGTCCAAAATATTGTTTGCAAATTTGAAAAATCAAACCAGGATTAAGTATAACGAAACCTGGTGGAACCTGATATGACATTGTCTCAGAAATCGAAATAATATACATAGTGTTTGTTTGCAGGATCTAGGCAAAACGTTATTAAAACTTGGATTGCTTGGATTTCCATTATATTTGAATCAAATATTTATTATATCAGAAATAAAGAACCAAGAGCTGCTCATGTATTAAGTACAATACACAGATCTTTTAAAACAATTTTTTTTAACAGACTTTTTGCGTTAGTATGCGGAATTTTAGTGAAATTACAAAATTTACACATCATACATATTTGTGATTAACACATACTATATTTCCTTCGTAGATGTACTAAACCGGACTTGCCCTGCATAGTGTTCATTTTCCCACTCATTTTATACTTTATATCCCGCTCGATACTCCAAACGTTAACCTTCATCGCTGTAGCATTGTTATTCATTGTTTGTCAAAATTACACTTAGGCTAGAAAATAATAATAATTAATGTTTTACTGCATGTTTCTGTCTGATAGAACCGTATTTTGCAATAGTTTAGTCTTGGGCACTTTGTAAATTTTACAATGCACTGCACGATCCATTCATATCCATGCTGTTTTTATATCGACCCCAAATATACTAGCCATATTGATTAGATAATTTTTTTTTAATTTTGAAAATGGTCAGCTAAATAATTCTAATTTTCAAACACAAATTGGTTGTAAAATTCTCTCGACCCTTTCTGCCTAAAATACCCTAATGGTCCTAATTCCTTAGAAGCCTTCAGCAAACTATTGGTCAGTTGCTCGAAGAGAGGGACAAAGAGAGGGAGAGCTTCAGATTGAAACTAATGAGCACTCAAAGACAATCCCAGGAGAGTATAGATCATCTTCAGAGAAAGTGTCAATGTTTAACCAAATTGTGAGTAATCGCCGATTCAACGTCAAGATTTATTTCATTAGTGATCGCTTGCGACAGGTTCGAGGAGGTTCGGCAGAGATACGAGAGGCGAGAATCTCGACAAGAAGACCTCAACATCATATCTGATCTCAAGCAAGTCATAGCGGAACAAGAGAAAGATTTGGCTTGCCTCAATGAAGAGAAGCGATACTTTCAGATGAGATTGATGCAACTAGAGCGACATCTAGAGGCGCAATCATCCCTCGACGAAGAAGACTTCGAAGACGCTCAGATGTTGAAAAGTGAAGCTCCTTCCTCAAGCCAAAACCCGCCTATTTTCATACCTCCCACGATACCGGAGGATTGTGATGAATGATTTTTTTTTACTTTTCTTTTTATTGCATACGCGTTATATTTGTTACCATTTCTATTAATTGTTTGTATACTGTACCATATAATAGAACGTAAAAAAAATATTTATTTATTTCTTTCACATTTTCCAGAAAGTCTTTTGCAACATTTTTTTATGTTTTCTACATCAACGAGAAAAATTTGTGACTAGCTATATCCCCCCTAAACTAAAGAAAAGCATGAAAATGAAAAAGGAGGACAAAAATCATGATAATACAAATTTACACTAACACTGAAACTAGATTCTAAAATTATTGTGAAGCTGTGATTCAAAACATTTAAAATTAATTCCTGGTGTGCGTTCATTGTCTTTCTTCTGTTAATTTTAACCAATAGCTACAAAATAATAGTTAATAATACCTGTGTTTAAAATTAAAATTATAGTTTGTTTCTGTAGTTCTGTAAATGTGTTCGAAGCTCTATGAATGTGGAAGAAAAGATTGTCATTTCTATAATTATAATCACGCATAATTAGTATTATATATACTGCTTTAGTTGTTCTTGGGTTGGTAAAATTCCAGTTAAAAACAAATCGAATATTGTATATTCAAAATTATCTTTAAATCGAATCTTTAAACACGAACATTTAACAAACCGTGATTTTAATTTTAACACCTGAGCAACAAATAATAAATATGAACATCAAAATTATAATCAAAATATTCGTGTCAGTTATTTCATATTTTTACTTATCGCTAAGGCATGTAAGTTATTTGACATAAAATATTCAATTCATATAGATTATCAATTTATATAGATTATATAGATTCTTGATAACGATCCACATTGTGATCGAATGAAACATACAAATTTTAAGAATTTTGATTTTATTGAACAACCTCAACCTAAAAACAACTCAGACATAAGTTGAACTTCCTTTAGTAACTCCGTCATCACATACTATCATTCAATCAGTGTGACTCTAAGTTAGGAACGATTCGGCGTGTTAAGATGTTAAAAAAAACTTAATGATAGAACCTTTAAATAGTCCACCATGTATAATATATAATAAAGCTCAGATATTATTTCGGTTTTTAAGACCTACACACATCGGATCCTAACTTAGGACCACACTAACTTACAATGGGTAGTTTATTACAGTAATAAATATAACACTAATTATACATGATTATAAGTTTAGAAATTTGCAAATAATTGAGATATTAAATATTCTAAGGTCATGCGAATAAAAACACAGTGGTGAGGAGGAGACATTGGGATACTAAAATTATAATTAGCTGTGAAAAGCTTAGCTTTCAATGTATTAATCATACAATGTTATGCTGTTGACATTCATGGTTGCGCTATCCATTCCCATAGACATAGCGCTTATTCTCTGATAGATGATCAGATTGTGAAAATGTTTAAATCATTTAAATTACACCAATGTACTTCTTGGTAGGGGTATATTTCTACTGTGTAGAGAACAAAAAAGTTTGAGTCATTTATATAGGTGATACGATCGAACAAAAGTCACATAAATAGTAAGAATATCATATTATGAAGCAAATGTGGTAAACGGCATTTGTGCTTTATACCTAAATTCCCTGAGCCGTGAATACTTCACTGGTACATAGTGTCTAATTTATGATTTTTGCAATAAAATCAACATCGGGTGTTGTGGGTTAAACTTCAATGTGCCAGTGCGTGGTGTTTTAAAGTAAAATTGGAATTATTACAATCATCGAAGTTAATGAGACAATTGAGCTTGAATTTGGGAAACTATTCCTTAGATGTTTGGATTAATTCCACTGATACTTGAAAAAAAAAAACTGTTAGCATCTATAAGTACTGCCGAACAAATCATTATTCTTGCGAATTTTCTAAGCTGCAGAAAATGGTCTTGTGCGAGGTATTTTTTTGTAGAAATCGCACAACTCCACGTCTTCAAATTCAAAATTTTCCATTTTGTACATTACTTTGTATTAAAGTAGCAAATAAATTAAAACTGTCTTCTGATTTTAAAATCGCCAACTATCATCGAAAATTGTTCTGTCAGTAACATGAGTTTTTTGGCGTATTGAGAGAATGAGCAATATTTTTATACGCAGAGAGCGTGATGAAATGATAACTGTTACTAGATTGCCTTCCACAAGCAAATTTTGTTCTGAAACGCTTTCAAATGGCCTTACAAATCATTTACTCACTGTCTTTGTTTCAAATTTAAATCATTCTAATAGCGTTTAAAGTCGACCAGAAATGCTAAGTCAGATATCCATTTTGGGTCACTTAATTCAAATAGTGGTTTATCTTTTATTTACATAAAATCACCTCTCATTTCTGATCTCGTAAGACCGTTTCATTATTTTCCCTCCCTCCAACAAAATTGATGGTTTTTACTACCATATTCATAACATTCTGGAGTCGAATGGACTTAGCACACATGTTCTAAGTGATAATGCAATGAAGGACTATCAAATCATCTTTTTGCACATTTAATTCAGTCGCCTTTTCATTAAAACTTCTGATGAAACCCTTACGTGAGTTGTCCATAAAAGGTGTAATATTAAAAATGTCCTCTGTGGTGCCCACCTTTCTAACATAGACTTTAATATAAGGTAATGATGGAAGGGTGAATTAATAAATATAAATAACACACTAAACGATTTCAAGCACATTTTTATTTTTTACAAGAAAGAATGTTAAAACCATATCAGATTAAAATTCGTCATTTTCGAAAGGATGATTCGGATGACCGGCACCCCTGAAACAGGAAATAATTTCGGTATAGGGTTATTTGATACCTCGAACTAAAAACCGCACACTGGTTGAATTTTTAATTAATTTCTCGGAGTGCATTTATTTTTCTTTTGGGTCGCTCACTGCATTCACTGAACGCTACTGTCTTGGATCCTTGTACTGATTTTTCAATATTTTTTATTTTTTCCGAAAAGCCTCTCCTTAATTCTAGTTGATTGATTCCACTCGGCGACATATTTGTAATAAAAAGTCTCAAGTAGACCTAAACCGATTGGGATTATGGAATTTAATTTAACAGATGCATCGACGAGTGAATTTTCCCTGATTATTTTAATGTGTCCATAGTTGTACCGATATTCAAGAAGGGAGAACCTAATTTACCAAACTATTACGCGCCAATATCTGTAGTTACTATACTGATAAAAATGTTTGAGTCATGATTAAAAAAACAGTTATCCCGCAATTAATTGTACATGCAGTGCTCGCGACTGTGGGGGTGGAGCAAGACGGCCCACTTAAGTTTTTTATTATTTTTTGTGGCTTTTAATCATCAAGGCGATTTATTTTTGACTAACTTTAAATAAATTTACCCAGTAATTAGTAACTATTTTTCTATAGATTTTGTTTTGGTAGATATTTTTGTAGGTGTTTATAAGATCTTCGAAAGCTCTGGCATTAGACTAAAGCCATAGAATTATCAAAAAAATAACACTTTCAATAAATAAATTTTGAGGGGGTGGGGGGAGACAAGGAGACCCACTGCTGGAAAAATTAACTAAATATGATGTACTAGGAACTTAATTAGATCTTAATACATTAACGATTTATTTCATTTATTGTCCCACAATAAATGCACTTTTTATACTGATGATACATCAATTATTAGCTATGGCCAAAACACGCAACATTTAATGGATTGGATTAAATCCAGATAAAACACAGCACTTTTTGTTTTGAATTAACAATAACTTAGTGATGGGTGCAAGTGTAAAACTTTTGGGGATTTCACTCGATGATAGTTTGACTTAGACCTGGTATTTTTGTAGTCCGTGATTTAAAAAAGATAATAGTAAACATTAATAATCCTTAATCCTCTCTTACTGTGTAAGAGTCTTGTTTTTGGTAGTTTTATTTTTACTGTTGTCTACGTCACCGTCACCCTTTTACATTTTACATTTTATATATTGATGCAACTGTATTATTTTTTAAGCACAAAATGGTTAAGAAAGCATCTATCTATCTATTATGTTAGTTCCGGTATTTTTAATTTCAATTTATGAAATTGTGCATGATTCTTTTGGTCTATGAAGCTTTAAAGTATTCAAAACAAGAGTTTCTACGTTAAATTTAAATAACTTCGGATCGGAACAAAAAGAAACTATTATATCATTAGCATCATTAAAATAAGTTTTTTTTATATAAATAAAATATAAACTAATAATTAACTTTTCATTAAAATTTACAATTAAAAATCACAATAACATCCTGAACTGTACTCTGAAAAATAGAAAAATTTATAATTTTTAGGAAGTTTTTCGAATTTTTTTACGAATTTATAAAATAGGCAATTGAAAAAATACAAAATGACTTAAATTTCAACTTAAAATAGGTCTGCACTTGGTTGAAGTTTCATTTTTTTTAAATGTTTTTCTTTATAATTTCATATCATATCCAAAATACAAAATAATTTTCCTAATTTATTTAGAACCATTTTGTGCTCTTGTCATTTTTTATATATACAACTATACAACTATACAAACCACTCTAAGCATGTCTTAAATAGACAAAGTTGTATTTTATGCTGCTTAGTTCGAAAAAAATAGAAATGACTAAAAATATCAGTCGCGTGCATTATTTATTTTTCAACACCGTGTATCTCAGAAAAAATGCAACTTCAGACTCGGCTTTTTAGAAACCTATTTCTTAAAATAAGCCAAGAAATCATCTCCTTTCATTTGTACATGATATTGTTTGAACACTTTAACCAATTTTAAAATCACTCAATACCCCACAATTTTAAAAAACAACGATAAAAAATAGCTTTTGCTAGAATTGTAATTGTAAAATTTAAATATGGTAAAATCAGTAATAAAAATGTTATATTATGCATTTTTAATTATGATTTCATGAGTATATAAGAATATTTTAAATATTACTTTTTACACACCTCGAGTAATTAATTAAAAATAATTAATTAATTAAAAATGTCGAAAGCCTTTTGAAACAAATGAAATACAAAATATTTACAATTTTTACAAATAAACCAGCATTTTTATAAATTCGACCAGTGTGAGATGCATCAGTGATTCTAAAAAGGGAATGGAAATATTTCCAAAAGGTACGTGGGTAGGATAAAAGAGGTTGTGAAACTTACTCTGAGTGGTTGCACACCCTTCCGTTGCAATCGAACGTGTCCAACACTTTCACATCGTCGCTGGAAAGTTCAAAATCGAATATCTGAATATTTTCCACGATTCTGGATTTGGTCACGGATTTTGGGATTGGCACCACGCCCAGCTGGACCAAATACCTCAAAATAACCTGAGCTGGAGTTTTCTTGTATTTCGCCGCGATTTCCTTGATTTTAGGTTCCTGGACTAAGATCGGATCACCCGGTTTAGCCCACGGCCTGTCAGGGGACCCTAAGGGACTGTACGCTGTTATGACAATGTCCAGCGATTTGCAGAACGCCGTTAGTTTCTTTTGGTTCAAAAACGGATGGCATTCCACCTGGAAAAGAAGAACCAATTCATGTGACGGCAACCTTTTAGATATTAGGGTCGTATTACTTGATTCGTTACTGGTTTGATGGTTGCGTTTTGAATTATTCTTTCCAATTGTCTTTTGTTGAAGTTAGACACGCCGATGGATTTGGTCAAACCTTTCTTCTGAACCTCCTCGAATGCTTTCCAAGTATCTACGTAATCGATGTCGCTATATAATGTTTTGCCGTCGGGACCTTTGGGTGTGTATTCATCGCCTTGCTGGAAAATAAATCCTACTTAATATCGACTTGACACGTAAAACGCTTTCTGCATACCTTAAACGCGGTTGGCCAGTGAATCAGGTACAAGTCTAAGTAGTCCAAGCCCAGGTAGCCTAAACTCCTCCTAATGGTCGGTTCAACCAAATCTGGTCTCATCAAGTTACACCATAACTTGCTCGTCACGAAAAGATCTTCCCGTTTAACGACACCTTCTTGAATCTTGGCTTTGATGCCCGCCCCCACTTCCTCCTCGTTTAAGTAGTACAGTGCGCAATCGAGGTGCCTGTAACCTGCGTCGATGGCGTCTTTTACAGCCTGAGTCACTTCCCCTGGTTTGGACTAAGAGAGCAAAATGTGATCCATAAGTTTTATGACTAGTTGCAAAAGATAACTTTACAGCAACAACGAATAGAACGATCTCGTGATGCTGGCTGCTAGAAATGGGGAGTTTTTTTTTCAAAGAAACTTCCACAGGCTACAAAACTTCTGGATTCCTCCTGCGTCTGTGTTTGCTGAGTCGAACTTGCTGACGTTTCGCCAATCATCCTGTTGGGTTCTTCAGAGCTTGACTGAAAATGGCTCGTATTTTACTCTGTAACTGCTTATATATTGTTTGAGGGGGTCGGAGCTAAATGAGAGGCATAAACACCGTCTCGGGTGACTGATTCCCATATTGATAATCTAAGTCGCGATTAAAATTGTTAGGTTGTTTACAGATTTCTTTATACTCTCGGATTGTTCGTTGGTAGAAGAACTGATTACATGAAAGAATTTTAGTTTTATCGAATAAAATTTTATGTCCGTTTTCATGAGTGTGTTCGGCAACAGTTGATGAGTTTATTTGTCTTAGTCGTAAGGTTATTTCGTGTTCTTTGAGTCTAGTTGATATGCTGTAAACTCTTGGCATCTCAAATGGAATTTTGTCTTTGACGGGCCGAAGATTTTGAGTAAATCTCCGCCCCCTCAAACAATATATAAGCAGGTACAGAGTAAAATACGAGTCAAGCTCTGAAGAAGCCAACAGGGTGATTGGCGAAACGTCAGCAAGTTCGACTCAGCAAAAACCGAAGCAGGAGGAATCCAGAAGTTTTGGAAAGAGTAATGGGTAGTTTGTTAGACATAACAAAAATATCAATATCTCTAGTTTTGGTTAGTTTAACCGTCATTTGCATTTTTGGCTTAGTGATATAACTAGTGCAAATGAAGCCAAGAGGCAGGTAAATATGCTTTGTATTTGTAAATTGTAAATTTATGGACAGTTGCTAACCAAATGACGAGAAAGATGATAACGCTAACAGTTTTTCTGTAGTTGGCTTTTTGCACTCATTCATTTTTTAAGAATATTATGGAGCCGGTATATAAGCCCTAGTTTTGAATTTTAAAAAAGTTGATGTTTTTCATATGTAATTTTGAGTGGTTTCTAAGATCTATTGATTCTGCAATTAAAAATATGAAATTTTAACAAATCGATATTTTTTTTAATCGAATACCCTGCATTTGAATCCGTTAAATTAGCCATGATAGCTTTTGTCGTGGAAACTAGCATAGTTAACTCTCATTATATATTAAAATGGTTGAACTGAGGTGGCTTTTAATTGATTTTAAATTTAATAAGAACTAAAAATTCAGATTTTCACGAAATTATATATTTTGACAGGACAATTGTTTCGACAACACCTTGTATTAATCGATTACATTACATTACATTTGATAAAGATACGGTGTTGTCGAAACAATTGTCATGTCAAAATATATAATTTGGTGAAAATCTGAACTTTCAGTTCTTTTTTTTTTATTAAAATGGTATTTACACAAGCGGAAAAGTTAGACATTTTGTAGGTATTTTTAAAATATAATCGAAATCAGTCTACTGCTCGCATTAAAAATAGGATATATCTCCTCACAGAGTTATTCCAAGTAAAAAACATTTTATAACACTTAAGTTAGGTTGAAAAATAGCGACTGAGTAGAAAGAAAAAGAAGGCAAGTTCCTTGTAATGTTAATGAAGAACTTGAAGTCTTGTTACTTTCGAAAAATCGATGAAATCGATTCTTTTCGAAAGTATACGCGCTCCTCACAAAACTCGAGATCTCGATAACGGTAGGTCCTAGAGGACCGCCAAAAAAAAAAAAATTTTTTTGTCTGTCCGTTCTCTGTCCAAGGGTTTTTCGATGATAACTTCCGAACGGTTTGAACTACAAGCTTCAAATTTTCTCCTTTTTATCCGTCCACGGGATGCATAAGGTATGTAAAAATCGCTGCATTCAAGCCTCGGCTTCCACCTCTTTTTTTCACGATTTCTGACTGTTTTTTGGACGTTGCTATTAAACAGTGTCCAAAATTTGAAGCTATCGACCTCAAATTTTTCAAGCAAATAGCGTTTGGTCCCCTAACGGAACTTATTTAAAAAAAAATAAAAAATCGCTTTTGTAAGGATGTAACAAAAAAAATCATTTCTCGAAAACCGTCTATGCAACCGAAAAAATTCTTGAACGAGGAGACGCACAAGATTTGGCTCCGAAAAATTTTATTCTTGGTAATTTTTCAAGAATGTACAGGGTGGGCCGCATTTTCAAAAAAACTGAAAAATGTATTTCAGATATTATTTTCTGTTGCATGACGATATAGCCCGTGTATATAGGCTAAACTGGCTAAATTTACAGATATCGACAAATTTAGCAGAGAAGTAACCAGTATACGCGGAAGACCCAGTGCTATAACATTTATTTCAGGTATTTTTTTCGATTATATACAGGGTTTTCCAATTATAGATAAAAATGTAGAAGACCCAGAATAGGCACCATGAAGGGCTACAATTTTTGTATTTGCGGTTTTCGTCTATCACACACACTGCTCGAGAAATTATAAAAAATCCATATGAAAATCACTATTCCGGAGGCTGTCAAGGCACGATGACGTCATTGATTATTACGACGCACTGCATGGTTTCAGAAAAATCTTATTTTCTCGAAAACCATTTACTATTTTAGAAAAATTCTTAGACTAGGAAAGGAAAGGAAAAGGAAAGGAAAGAATCCAGGGCTATAACCTCCATTTCCGGAATGTTTTCAAATATGTACAGGGTGTGTACATATTTGATTATAGTTTAAAAAAATCTAAAAGGCTCATGGATAAATTATTAGCCGTGATTGAAAAACTATAAAACATAGGATAATTTGGTTTAAACAGTCTCGAATATTGTGTCGATAGAGAGAGAGAGAGTTTCAAGTTTCGTCTATCATACAGGGTGCGCGAGATACTTGGAATAGTATAATTGGAAATCGTTGTACAATTTTTATATTTATCAAAATTTGTTGTGACTTTGAACTTCGGCGACAAGTAAAAAACGCTTTATACAGGATGTATGCGCAATAAAATTACGTCAATTTTGCGAAAGTTCCATAGTGGTCCGCAGGAGCACGATAGAAAATCAATGCGTCCCTCTACCACAAGAAACCGCAAAGCGGTTTCTTTTTTAAATAGAAAGCTGCTTCGTGCTGCGCGTTACGAACTTGCCTCACCCAGCGACCATTTTTCGAAAGCAATCTTGTTATATTTTCACGGTGAGAATTTCAATCACTAGCATTAAAATTAAAATTAAAAATGTATTAATTTGAATTAAAAAATCTAAGTTTCGAAATATTTCTTTTTCTACCCTGTTCTGTAAAATACCTAGTTAAATACCGACCTAGTGTGCGGAAAGTGTCCGTGTACCACGTCAGTTTCGTTTCCTACGGAGCCCAGTCACTTGTGGAAGTGAATCTATAGAAGTTTGGTGAGGAATTATTTCTTCTAGACTTCTGGGACCCTGTTTTTTTTTCAATGAAGTGTTACCTCTTGCTGTGATTTCAAATATAATGTGGCTACAGAACAGAGCACCATATCACTATGTAAGAGACGTAAGAGACAAAATAGATACAATGTCTGAATGGACAAAAATGGTGTAATACTCTAGCCTCCAACAGTACAGTACAGTACACCTTTTTATGCGGAATCCTAAAATCGTGAGTATATAGAATAAGGCCAGCAACACTTCAGGATATACAAAACAGAATACGAAAAGAAGTTGGAGCTCTAAGTGGGCAACTAGAACTCCTTAGATGGTGTATCGAAAACCTACACTAACATTTTTGTGTATACGAATGTATGAATTCTAGTCATTTCGATAATATTTTTTGAAATAAATTTAGAATACTAAAGACGATGCTTTAGTAAGATTTTTTATAATATTTAATTATGTAATTTTGTCATTTTTTGTGTTATAAGTAGTAAGTAAATAATATGTTGTTAATAAATCAAAATATGTTTAACTGAAAATGTAAAATGTAAGAAAAAAGCAACTAATTTAGTTTTCGTGACTGAGTTGATTTTTGATTTATGGACTTTACATTAGATAAAGATACTTAAAAATCTGTCAAAAATAACCCTAACAACTCATGTATATTTGAAAGCATGAGAAAAATTTCAATCGATTGACATATTCATTCAAATACAGGGTATTCAATTTAAAAAAAAAAAAGTCGACCTGTCAAAATTTGCCAAATAATTTTTTTTTACGTATTTAATTGCAAAATCGGAAGGTTTAGGAAAAATGCTGCCTACTGTGATAATTTTAACTTCATCGTAGGATCAATATTAAAAAAGTTATACATTAAGTAATTTATAACGGGACACCCTGTACACACTAGAAATACATGAAGCTCGCAGTAATTATTTTTACCCTATTTGTATATAAAAATTGGGAACTTGGATTTTCAAGTCTGTTGCTTATATATACTTACCAAATAGTAATTATTTATATTTTAAACTCAAAGAAGGTTCAAATTTTGGTTGCAGTTTACGAAAGCCAAGTATATTAGATTTATCTATATAGGTTTATTTTAAGATTTGAGCATATTACGATTCCACAACATTTTGAAGTAAAATTAATTATTTTTGTGTGTTACGTCAAGATCTTAATTTCCAATGATACTGTAGACAATTTAATAAATCTATTTAGATAAGTCTAATGTGTGGTCAAGTCGCAGTTATATTAAAATTTTAGTAGTACACTGAAAGCTCTCCTTGCGCACAGATTATTCCCCAATGTGACTAAAAATCTCCCATAGGCGGACGCAAAACTTTAATAGCCGAACGATATTTTTGGTCCGCTTGTCAGAACTTGCATTAAATTCGGTAATTCCCCTTTTCACATTTGCTGAAAAATATTCAGATAAAGGAAAACCTTTGGCAATCCATAGAACGGTTTTAAAAAAAATCCTATTTACGTATTGTTGTATTCTTAATTTAAATAACATAAAAATAACAATAAAAAAATGACTAATGCAGGTGGGTCAAAACATTCATTTACAAACTCACAGCAAGCCATAGTAGTAACGTTTCTGTTGTGCATTATTTTCGGATCATCCCTAAAATAGTACGCAGTAGCGCGATTTAAATATATTTTTTATCTACACAAGACACAACAACCACGCTACTGATCATTCTGCCGCCAGTGCATATCTCACTACACGCAGTAGAGATAAAAAATTGATCCGGTCATAGAAACTAGATAATTGCCTGGTTGTTTTGCGATTCAAATTATAAAATCGGGACACTACAAAACTCGACACTCGTACTGTCGAAAAATAGCTAAACTTAAAATATTTTCCGCGCTCTAAAATTCCATTGCAAATCGCCATTGCATAACAAACGACGCGTTAATTAATTGCATCACACTTACTTTCCACGTGCCCAGCCCAATGGCGGGAATGTGCTTTCCGTTGTTCAATAAAACGCTAGGTACTTTCGAAGCCATCGTACGCGGTGGTCGGGCAATTAAACTAAATCACTGATTCGGTGGCGAATTGGAAGTCGAGAAAATTTTATTCCTAGCGAAGGTCAGACGCTTGTTTAAAAATCGAGATTTTGAATAAGTACACAGTGGCGGGGCAAATTTTAAACTCAGTCGCACAATTCGATCCTGAAAAACGTGATATTTCTAAATCGACTGGTTTTTGTAATATTTTTGTAAATATACAGGATGTTTCCTCATAAGATAGTTATTCACAATATTGGAATTTTGAAATTGATATTATGCAATAAGCTACTGATAAATATTGTGACTGAGGCAGTCCCCTTAGTCGACGTAGATCAAAGCTATAAAATAACTTGTTCATTTCCCAAAAGTCTGAAACCCAATCTAGATTCTAGTTATTAATGTGAAATTTCGAGAGATAGACCAGGATGGACTCTGAAACTAGCTCGTACTCTACTCTGTACTCCTTATATATTGTTTGAAATCGGGGCGGAGCTAAAGAATGGACATGAAGAGAGGGAGAGAGAGAAACACCCAGCACATTAACGAAACGAGTTATCTTCTTCTTCTTCTTTTAGCTCCTATCCCCTATAGAAGTTGACAACCGCATTAATTCAGATAACTTTGTTCACTGTTAACCTAAATGGGCAAGGCAGGAAAGCAATAGTCTTGCTAAACGGAATCATTTTGGACAAAAACATATCAACAGATAACAAAAGACGAATACAAAACACAATAGTTAACAGAGTCATAACATATGCAAAAGCAAGGATCATTCAACGAGTTACGGATAATATGGGTATCACATACACAATTATAGATGAGATTCAAAACAATTAATATAGTATGCACATGCACAGAGGACGCTTCTAGAAAAAAGACTCCCAAAACAAACATTGGATTTATCATCAAATAAAAAATGTAAATGATTTCAGTGCGAACTATATTGGTAAGTAGAGTAATTAAACAGCAAGAACAGCCCATTTTCTCATTTATATAAATAAAAACAGAAAACATAAAAACAATAGCCTCTATATACTGAGTTAAACAAGTCTCCATAATATTTTGGTGAATGGTCATAAAAAAGTGGGGGGGGGAGGGTGTGGCGAAACAGCCAGCACATTGATGAAACGAGTTATCTTATTCTTCTTCTTTCAGCTCCTATCCCCTATAGAAATTGACTACCACATTAGTTCAGATAACTTTGTTTACTGCTAACGGAATCATTTGGGACAAAAACATATTAACAGATAACAAAAGACGAATATATAACAGAATAGTACAGAGAGTCATAACATATGCAAAAGAAAGAAGAACCATTGAACGAGTTACGGATAATATGGGTATCACATTATTATATCACATTATAGATGAGATTCAAAACAACTGGTATTGTACGCACATGTGTAGAGGATGCCTCTAGAAAGAAGACTCTCAAAACAAACATTGGATTTATCATAAAATAAAAAAATGTAAATGATTTCAGTGCGAACTGTATTGGTAAGTAGAGTAATTAAACAATAGGAACAGCCCTTTCTGTATTACTTGCCCTGTATATACTTAGATACGAATTAAGCAATTCTCCCTAATTATTAGATATCTCTAACATTCGAAAATTTATTTACATAAAAGGGTCAAAAATTATTAATCGTGTGGTGAGGGTTTCATGAGATGTAGAGCACACAACTTTATCTATAACGCAAATTAATCACTTACGTAATTATTATTATAAGCAGTCGCAAACAATTTCGAGTTGAATTAGCACCGATAAGATAACGCAGATCTTGTTACTCGTTAAAAATTGATTATATAAATGTCTACAGGGTGATTCAATCGCAGATGCTAGGAAACTATTCCCATTATTGGTCAAAACAATCTGAACTCAATCCATGGCCGTTCAACATAACATTTGGAATGTCTCTTAGCTGAAATATTAAATATTTGATTTGCTGCCACGATACATGTAACTTTGGGAAAATGTGTTTTTCTATTTTTAAGGCACAAGCACCCTGAGATTCATCTTTTTTTTTTGCATTCAATGGACATTTTTATGAGTACTGTGCCTTTTCCGTGTTAAGTTTGGAAAATCCATTGAAGTCGAGGCTGATTCTCTTTTAAACAAAGCCTACAGGTGCTGCCATTGCCCACCCCCATAATGAGGGGATCATGCGTTTAGATCCTTCAGCTGCCTCAGTTCAGACAGACTTCGAAACAGACAAAAACTCCATCTTCAGTTATTGGAATAGATATTTCTGGCCCAAGGCCTAATTTCGAACCATTTATCGAGCTACTTATTGTCTTCAATGCAAAGGCCAATATAAGGATGGGATAGCATAGGTATATCGAAAACCATTAAAGAAACTAACCAAAACTTAAATCTGCACTGAAAAATGATACCAGCGTGAATCGTTTCTGAGCAATTCGAGAAAATATAATTTTCTGTTCTTGTCTGTGAAACCCAAAATACACCAAATCTCACGATTATTACATTATTAGAATTTTTTTAAACAATATGATGACATAAAAAGAAACAAAATTTGTCATTTGTTTTCGAGATACACCATAGACTATTAAATTTTCTTATGGGCCCCATTATCATTCTTAGGGTCGTAAAAGTAGAATTTGCTTTGGATTCACTGGGCTAGCATTAAATTTAATGTTTATGTAAAATTGAAAAGTCAATAACGAAAAAAATGCTCACCAATTAGATTGGAATAAGAAAAAATTATAATTCAAATTTATGAAACGGAATTCAATAATGGGACATAGTAACATCAATTACAAAAAATGTTCAAATTTCGATTAATTTACAAGTGTACGCAACATCGTTTAATGGTGGAACGCAATGGACTGTTGTGTGTGGTATCATGGTTTGAAATACTATTAAAAATTATCACGTAATTCTTTCTTTCTTGGAAACTTACGTTGGTACACGTAGTTTTTAATGTGGCGACATTATAGGGTACTTACATACCTCGACGGACATCCACGAATGATCATAGTACCCTTGCCCGACTGTTATCGTAAAAGAAGTAGAGCCTTCAATTACAGCTAATAGTACATTATTTCCAGCTTCCTTATTGAATGGTCATATGATAGTCATTTCTTTTGCAACCAGTCTTCCAAAGATCTTTTTATTTGGTTGTAACCTTTGAGGGTAGGTATTCAAATCAATCTGCTCGTGGAGAGTGCATCGTGAACCTATCATTTAAAATCTTTTTTTTTATACTCTACCTACTACTAATATTCAATTTCGCTCCCATAAGAAAATAAAGCCTATGATGTATCTCAAAAATAAATGTTTTTTTTTCTGTTACCAATATTTAAGCCAACACTTTAAAATTAAATTTCCTTTCATTCATACGCAAATGTTTTGGTGCATTTGAATCTTCGCTAGATATTTATAACAAATAAAAAATTCTCTTTACCACGTTTGCAAAAGATAAGAATTTAAAAACAAAATATCAATAACAGTTTATTAGGAACACATCTGTAACACTCTGAAACCTAAATAAAGTAGATACAAAAGAAAAAACAAATTTGATTTTGGTGCCGCGTGTTTTTCTGTTTGTGGAGCTTCCCATCAAACAAAAACATCTCAGTATTCATCCTTAATGAAGGGGTGGTCTTTATGAGTGTAGGCACTGCAACAAAACAATGCATCATTACCCTATTTTAAAAAACTCTATCCATCTCGCTTACTCTTCGTAGGGACAGATCCTTCCGTTGCAATCGAATGTATCTAGATGGGCGATATCCTCTGGGGACAATTTAAAGTCCCATATGTCGAAGTTTTGCTGAATTCTGGCTTTGTTGACGGATTTTGGAATGACGATCAGGTCCCTTTGAATACCGTACTTAATGACCACCTGAGCGGGCGACTTGCCGTATTTTTTGGCGATGGCTTTGATTTGCGGGTCGTCCAAAAGCTGGGGATCGTCGGGCTTGGCCCAGGGCCTGTCCGGCGAACCTAGGGGACTGTACGCAGTCACGACGATACCCTTCGATTTGCAATAATCGATCAACTTCTTTTGGTTCAAATAAGGATGCACTTCAATCTACAAAAATATTACCTTTTCTATACCAGGCGGAAAGGAAACAGGAAATTAAAAAAAAACTAAATCGGCCAAGAAATGCTGGGGGCGTAATTTTTAATGTTAAAGATAATTTATTTCTTTCATTTATTTACTTATCTTATAACAGGGTACTGGCTAGCAGTTTCGGAAACTAAGTGTTTAAGCAGAATGTTTAAAAAAAAGAAAGTTGATAATAGATGAAAAGAAGAAACAATAAGGAAGTGGAAGAGCTATTTGACCAACCCAACATTGTAAGCACGGTAAAAGATTATAGACTAAAATGGAGAAAGCACATTGGAGAGAATGAAAAAAGATTACAAAAGAAAATATTAGTGGAATTGGAGGAAGGAGGAGGAGAGGCAGACCTAAGGTGGGATGAATAAATGAGGTGCTGAAGCAGATAAATGAACTAGGGGTTAACAACAATACAAGAAAAGCAGAAAACAGAAAAGAATGGAGAAACAAAGTCAATTAAGCATGGATCTTCAAGACTTGCATTAAGAAGGTACTCTGACATGACAAACTAACATCACAATTTACAAAGGTACACTAAGAATAATTGCATTTGTCTTCTTTCAAGAGAGTAAGTAAAAATATTTCTAAACAAAATAAAAAAAAACAAAAAAAAAATTAGTCTGAGCGAAAAACTCTAACTGCTTGGTTCCTAAACAAGTAGAACATAAAATAAAGCTGGCCTTCTAGGCATTAGCACCCTAGAACTAAAAGATAATTTTTCTAGCAGTTTTATACAGTCTACTCTGGTATTAACAACATTGTGCAAAAAAATGTCACTGTAGGCCTAACAGATAATTTTAACAACATATGATCAGAAACTCTAATTATAAATGCTGTTCTGAGACATTACATACTTTGGCACGGTCGCTGGTTTCCTTTTATTGCTCACAAAACTCCAAAATGATTTCACGTGGTTCTTAAGATTTTTGTCTGTATTTATGACGTAATTTTTATAATCCACAAATATCGCTGCCCTAATTATCTATCTCAATTCAGAAAAAGTAACATAATCAATGGGGTTTTTATATTTTTTTCCATCTTTGGTGTAGTTTATACATCTGCGTTATAGGTTCCTTAATATTGAGACATACCAAGTAGGATACTTATTGATAAAGCGAGTAGTGTTTGAAAGTTACAAAAAATTGAGACCTTGCTGCAAGGAAATTGGTGGTGTTCAAACATATTCTTAAACGAATGCCTATATTATCAAAAACTCAATGCATTTTAATAAACTTGAAGTTATTAAATAGGGATTTTCTTCATATTCATATTACTACTATACTCCCGGTTACCCATTTACATAATAAGTCATCCCAATAACTAGAACTAAAGATATGCCCTTATTGCCGCTGCTGATATTTTTATCGTGCTTGTCGCTGTTTTCTGTATTGATTTTGAATTTCCAAGGTGACTATTTTACATTTTTGTTATTAAAGACGAGCCAAACAATACTCTAAGTACCAACTAATTAGAAATGTATCAGAGCAAGTGCAGTAATGTTAAGCCCACGCCTGAGACAGATTTATGCCACAGTCAATACTTCTATCTCACAATTTTCGCATCTTGCATTTTTGCAACAAAATTGTAGATGCAACAACATGACACTAGAGATTTAATAATATGTTAAATATGTTTATTAGGTTTTATACAACACCTTTGAAAGACACTAAATTATCCGGTAGCTGACATTTTTACAATTTGATATGCTTAGCTGTTTTCTAATATATAGTATTGCCATTTATTGTTTGGTCACTAATCACTTGGTCACTTGGTGTTACAGACTAACCAATTTTATTAACTACTACTAACTACATCTCTTTTCAAAGAAATACTTAACGTTTTTATCTGATTAAACACTGCGCATCTGTTGGTGTCATAATTAAAAATATCTTATTAAACCAAGAAAAAAAATTGATTATGTCAATAGATATTTTACTCACATAAATGAATAATTAATAAAATTTGTTGTTAGTTGACCAAACTTAATAATTAATAAAAGTATATGTGATAATACAAAACAGGGTAAGCGAGTCAAAATGTAGAAATGTCAGCCGTAAAAAAAAGTATTGAAGATATAAAATATTTGGAAATCCTACCTTATTATTTGGTAATTTTGAAATAATTGTTATTGGGTTCTTATTTGACCAGCCCAAAAAAAATTACATCCTTGAATTTACTCTTTTTCAGAAAATTGTTTCTTTTGCGATTATTAGAAGACAAGTATCATCCTTACAAGATTAAATTACTAGAGGAGCCAAATGAATTGCAGACTGCAGAAATTTCCAATTTAAATCCATTTTTTTTATCGTTAGATACTGTTACAAACATCTTGAGTTCTCATTGTGTCCATATCCATTCATTTAAATGTGCCATATTCATTTTCTTTACGGACAGAAATGTAATTGTGACAATTTAAGAACTTTGACAGTACTAGCTACTTACATGTTCATTTCAAAATTAAATTTCAGTTGTTTGTTTTCTTTAGCTCATAAAAAGTAAGGTATGCTACATACTACATATATAATTGTGACAAAGAATTCGAAAATGGATTTAAAAAAATTATGTTCCATTTAAGAAAAGGGACTTGGTATCGACATCTACTTTGACTCACCCTGTATATTTTGTTTTCTGCAAAAAATGCGCAAGAAAAAATTATTATGGCATTGGTCAATTTACCTAAACTTAGTTGACCTTACTATATTTTTACTTGAAACAAAATTAAATAGAATTCGGAAATAATGATTCATTATTAAAGAATACGGAATGTTTGAGAACAATATACGTAGCATATCCTGATAAGATAAGCGAATTTATTGCTTTATTTTTCAACATTGTGTCGTGACATAACGTGGCTGAAACTATATACCTGATTCGTTGCCGGAACGATTTTCGCAACGGCAAGCAAACGTTCCAACTGCCGTTTGTTGAAGTTCGAGACACCAATTGACTTGGTCAAACCCTTGGCAACCAAATGTTCCATCGCCTTCCAAGTGTCCAAGTAGTCGACATCACTGTAGGCTGTTTTGCCATTCGCATCCACGGGAAACAGATCCCCACCTTCCTGGAAAACGCAAATTTTCATTGCAAACGATAACGTGAACTCAGAAATCATCTAGTCTGTACCTTTAAAGCAAAAGGCCAGTGAATTAGATAAAGATCTAAATATGTGAGCCCCAAATTCTTCAAAGTGGTCTTGATGGCTGGCTCGACCAGGTCCGGTTTATGCATGGTGTTCCACAATTTGCTGGTAATGTACAGATCTTCCCGTTTAACTGTACCATCGGCGACTTTCGCTTTGATGGCTTCCCCGACTTCAGCCTCGTTACCGTAGACGTGAGCGCAATCGATATGACGGTATCCCACATCGATGGCATCTTTTACCGCTTGAGTCACTTCACCTGGTTTGGACTACAGAAAAAAACGTTTTAGTACTGTTATGAGCAAGATTTACGAAAAAAAAGGTTAATTGAAGGAACTTTTACATCATAATAAAGATCTGCTATGTACTATCTCGGAAAGTCTGTCAGAAAGGAGATAGTAGATTTTTCCACGGACACTATTTTGAAATCTTCTGGAAACTCTGAAGAAGCCAAGAAGATCAACAACTATTCATCAACAATCGACGGCATCCAGAAGATTTGTAAAACCACAAAGTACAAGAAAGAAAAGGAATTCTTGAATACTAACCCCAATGCAGATATCTCTTGAGCAGGATAAACAAAATCGAGAGAAGAATAAAACCAATAATATAAAGCTTTCAAAATTTGTTTTATATAGACAAATCGACAGGAAGAAAAAGAGAGAAGGAAGAAGAGCGCGAGAAAGTTGAAGAGGCTTAAGAAATGGTTTCAAACGACACTGTTATTATTTCATGTTTTCAATATGAATAATACTCATCAAAATATGATTTCATTTTTAGTTTTTGAGCTAACCAAACACTAACTATGCATTTTAAGTTTCAGTTCAAATCAACTGGTTGGGACTGCAGAAAAAATGACTGATTGCTTTTATCCTGAAGTTGAAGATTTAAAAAACAATAAATAAATACACAATGTTTAGGTTTCTGAAGAAACTTTTATCTTATACGAATTTCACGTACACAGAGTGCTCAGTATTTTTAACTGTTTTTAATGTAGCCTTTGTGAAAGAATGGTTTATAATATATAAAATATTACTCTTTACAAATCTGGATTCCTGCTGTGTCAGTTGTTGATGAATCAAACTTGCTGAGTATCATCGGCGCAAGATTACATCACTACAGGAACCGAACTGTGAAATTATAACTATAATGTGTACGAGCATTTTTCTTAAAATCCATTTTCGGGTTTTTAAAGCAATTTGTTCCATATTTGAGTCAATACATATTGGACTATCTTGTCGCATCACGATGTATAATCGAATAACCGAAATAAAGCAATACGTCCAAAATAAAAATGGCTGTTTGACAGAATAGTAAAAGTAGAAGTAACCATTTTAGAAATCAAAATTATAAAACTAAACCGAAACTATTTATTAAAAATTGAGCACCGCAAGCGAAGAGGTATAAGTTAGAATTGCAAATTTTGCAGGTGGGATGTTCAAAATTTTGGAAATAATTCAAAACTTTTTGGCACTAAACCCATTTTCGAAAAATAACCAAAATTTTGGTAACTTTGGTAGATCCATCGAAATACAGAAAAAACTAAAAAAAAAAACAAAATCATTAAAAAAATCATCTTTGGAATGCCATTCTCGCGTAATTGAAAATTTAAGTGGGTGAGAAAAACATCAATTCTCTTAAGTGTCGAAACGTTTTACACTTGTATTGAGTCTGCTAATTTTTTCGTAAATCAAACCACAGTAATTATTTCATTCTTGAATGCAGTCTTGCGGAATAAATATGTGTTCTATTATATGACTTGATATTTAAAAAGCAAAACGGAATTAAAATCTAACAAAATATTTGTCTCAGTGAAAAAAAAATTGCTATGGGTAAATTAAATAACAACGTTACATAAAGATTTATTTGTATAAAAGTTTGGAAGTGATAACGTCGCTTTTATCTGTTCATTAGTTTAAAAAACCTTCGATATATTTGAAATTACCAGATTAGCAAATCATCTCCAGTAAACAAACGATTGCGGTATTTGGTAAACTCTTAAGTGGGACTTTTATTTTTTATGTATGAGCGTCATATCGGGACCTTCAACGTTTTCAGTTATCAGTTAAACACAGCCTAAAATATACAGGGAGGTCAAGTTGAGTGGCCTATTAAAGTACAGTAGACCAGAATGGCCAACGTTTCCAAATTTGAATCACAGGACACCCTATAATACTATATATATAATGTTACATGTGCGGATTCTACATGAAATGCTAAGTAACGCTTCGACCTATATATATATATATATATATATATATATATATATATATATATATATATATATATATATATATATATATATATATATATATATATATATATATATATATATATATATATATATATATATATATATGATGACACTATATTCCGGGATATCATCCGTTCGCTCGTTGAACTCCGACTGGAATCCTGCATCCGACTGGAATCCTGCAAATCTTGCATCCGACTGGAATCCTGCAGACGTTTCGCCAAAATCTCACTTGGCATCTTCAATGCTCGCGTTCCGAAAACACTTCGAACACTGGAGCATTGAAGATGCCAAGTGAGATTTTGGCGAAACGTCTGCAGGATTCCAGTCGGATGCAAGATTTGCAGGATTCCAGTCGGATGCAGGATTCCAGTCGGAGTTCAACGAGCGAACGGATGATATCCCGGAATATAGTGTCATCACATTTTTCCATCCGTGAATCAATACGTGAGAATATATATATATATATATATATATATATATATATATATATATATATATATATATATATATATATATATATATATATATATATATATATATATATATATATATACCCTCCTACCCTTGGAAAATAAATTAACTAATATAATCATTTGGAAAATCAAAAATTAAACGTAGTCACATATTTTGTAATTTTGGGGTAGACCGTACTTATACCTATAATATTTTTTCACCTACAGCAGCTAAAACAAAATCCTGTCTAATATTCTAGGACTTTTAATAGGACTCACTATATAATCTGAGGCTCACTTTCAAAAATAGCATTTTTACGCAACAATTAACTTGCCTTGATAATAAATGATAAATTTATGGAAAAAACCAAAGTATAGAGGAAAACATTTAATTGACAATTAAGAGATTTAACGAAACTGGAAATGTACGTTATGATGCACTTACCAGTAGTAATTGATTATTTATGATTAAATTAATAAAACCGGCCTTCCTACCATAAACTAGTTTTATATTAATTTTTAATTTAAAGCATGAGCTGCCATAATAGCTATTACAGAGCAGTACAAGTACAAAGTACAAAAGAGGGCCTAGATGGAAGATTTCATCACCCTATACTTTAGGGAAAAATGGCGTGTTAGATCCTGAATATCAATGAAATATTTACTGTAACCACTTATTGTAACCATTTGATCTTTTGATTTTCAAATGCCAAAAGGCCCTTATTAATGCAGCACCTACATAATATTTAAATAAATATTTAAACTCAGTGAATTTGTAAAAGTACCAAAACTTTTCGTAAAATTCTGTCCCAATTCTCAAATTTCATAAAATATACTTATATGATATTTTCCTCAAACTTATAATTACTTGGGGACTTTATCTGTTATATGGCAATGCAGTACAAAATAAATATAATTAAGCCAGGATTATCCTAAGTTCATAAACAGATGATTCCGTAATACCTATACCATGTAGCATATAATGTACCGGTTGAAGGAATAGTTTATGCATTGAAAATAGATCTGCATGATTTCTGTATATTTTTGATCACTATTACTTAAAATCATATCATTATTACTTAAAATCATGTTGTTTTAAACTGATTCGGGAACTCATTATAAAAAAACTAAAAACTAAAGAAACAGTCTAAACCATCTTTTAAGAATTCAGGTTCTAGAAACTAACAAAAATATAATAAATGGATTCCAATGAGAAGTTAAAACGTTTTTTTATTCACAATCTAAAGCAAAGCAAAGTAATATTTCGTAAACACAGCTCAAAGCAAGTATTTACTTAAATAACAAATCAATATGTAGGCAAATGGGGAGCGCTTTACCGATTCGAACAAAATATTGGAAATTAATCGTACGTACAGTGTAGCAAAAACTTTGCTTTATTGCCATGTCTCATTAGAATTTACGAGTTCTCAAAACCGGCAATACAAACAAAAATTGTAAACTCATCAAGATAGGTATTTATATTTTGTTGGGTTAAAACGAACAGATACCAATCTAAAACAAGCCGTTACAACTAAAAACAGTCCACACACTAGGTTACATAAATTTTGAAATGGCTTTAGTTAAAAATTGCCGGCAGTTTCAGCCGAAAAGTTGAGGTTAGGAATGCTAAGTTAATAACTTACTTTCCAGGTGCCCAAACCAAATACGGGGAAGAGTTGACCGTTGTTGAATTTAATTTTGGGTACTTTATCTGCCATTTTCGCAAATGTTAAAACGCGAGAGACTCCTACCATACATACACACCTACCGATCGCAAACAAAAGCGCACAGTTCCCGTGACCTTCTAATTATATAGAACGCCGGGATAGGATAATGATGATTGTTCAGAGACGGAGTCGCCCATCGAAATGTCGGTTAAATGATTTTAAAATATTTGCCTTCATATTTAATTAAAATTCTTTTAAAAAACTTCTTCTATTGCATTTAATTTACATAAGTAATAATATAGTTAGTTATATACTTTAAATGTTACCAGATATAGGAAAAGTCCATTTTATTTAAAACCTAGATGCCTAAAAAAATATATTACAACAGCACAAGCTTATTTGATGGCTACCTACATCAAAAATAACATTTTTTATATATTTTTTGGTTGCCAGTTATGACGTAGAACTTTTTACTTTTAGTACTTTGCCAACTATTGGCAACACCGCTGTCCTCCGGAATTTATGCGCCGCTGCCATTTTTGTTTAGTCTTCTATAGGTTTACAACCATGCGTCACACTAAAAGTACTACAGTAGGTTGTAACGGATCACAGCACTTTATTTATATTTTAATAAAAAAAAATTAAAACTACATCGACATAATTTTTTTTTCACGCGTTTTCCGTTTTCATGACTGGACATAATCACTAGAGGCTTTGAAACTCTTGGACGCCTTGCCACTAATGGGAGCCTTCCTCTCTATCTTATACTCTTTGCCCTTAACAATATGAAAAAATCCTCATACTATGCTGCCCAGGTAAGGTGAGTTGGGACTTAAGTATGCGTTCCTGTACACGAGGGTCTGTCGTAACTTACAAACAAGATCTAGAAAAAGTGAAATGCAGCTTTTAGAAGATCTAAGACAGTATTATTGCACCCCTCCGAGTTAGGGATTGGAATACAAGGGGAGTTGCAATGGTTGTAAGAAGAAATAACGCTATTGAGTATTTATCAATTAAAAAAATCGACACAGGAAATCGGTAAACTAGTCAAAAGTTTTGGTTTATAGTGTGTACCTATCTGGTTTCTGTTTATTGAAAATAAATCGTCTTATCTACTCTTATATACCTTCCTTCTATGGGTTTTAATTCCGTGCTTTTCCTATTACAAGCGACGTTTATCTAGTATAGTTTAATATGAATCAAGGTAGTCCCTTTTTAAACACCAAATCGAAGAATAATATCCCCGTCTTATTATTTCTTTAATGGTATTATTCAAATCCTATTAAATATGATTTTGTGACTTTATCGGTTACATAGTTTTTGCCTTCAGTACATTTTTTATCAGTTTTGAATGAAATAGAATTGGAAAGAAGAACTTTTTATAACGAGAAAAAGAAATTTTAATAACTTCAGTAAATACGTGTTAGAAAATAGAAAAACGAATGCAGTTTGCGACAAACAGAAAAACGATACTTAGAAAAAACTGATTAAGGAATATAATGCTACACTTTTTTTAATTTAACAGTATTCATGTCACGTAAATTCAAAATTGAATTCAATCAACCTTTAATGTATGACAATAGTTAAAAAAAAAATAATAAAGAAAATTATTTTATATCAAAACTGCTTGAATCAGAAGTGGCGTTCTTTAATAAGTTGCGAAAGTTAGCTATCCATTACTGAAAACACTAATCCCCCATTTTAGAAAAGAAACTGCTCTTATGACACAAAAAACGAAATAACAAAAAAAAAGTTGAAACAAAACAATTTAACTGAATTGGAATCAATGAATAAACTTATTGATTAAAAGTTCCCATTATCAACGTGATAAATCTGTGAACAAGTCAAAATCCATCTGACAAAGTGTTAAACTATTTAACCGACTGATAACGTCTCACTTAGGTTGCTAAATACCGAAAATTGATTTAACAAAGTGTTTCCAAATTAAGATAAATGTTTATCATTTTATTTATCATAAACATGAATTATACACCATGAACCACAGCTCTAAAATAAATATAAATTGGAAGTAAGGTTGTATAGGTAAATAATTTTTTCAAAGGGTTTTCTTTTAGTATTTCTTTTCCTATAATTAGAGCACTTCATTTATAATAATTCAAATGCAATCACTTTTTAACTGTATTGTATTGTATTTAGAATTTTTATTTTGCTCTTTGTTGCTTTTTATATTCTTATCTTGAAAATAAAGCCATAATTATTAGGAAGCATTGCAGTTTATTACTTCCACAATTTTAACTGTCCTCATTCAAATTTCTCGCTACTTGACTCCAGAAAATTCGTTCATCCTGTAGTTCACAGCGGCGCTGATGAATACGATACCGATTTTTACTAGTGAATCTACCATTCTCTTTTTTATTTTTACGGTGACAATTTTAGCGAGTGCAATGCACCCCCCTCAGCAAAAAAGACTTTACTTTCGTCAAATTCTTTGTCCAGCCAGTCAAAACCAGTATAGTAAGGTTATGTTATTAAGAAAAATAAATGCGGGCTTCTAACCAGTTTGTTCTCCCTTTGTGGATTTTATATGGATATTGTTCTGTCGGGGGTTCGTGCGACAGTTAAATGAATACGTTAGTTTAGTAACTAAAGATTTATTCTGTAACGACTTGAAATTATTACAATGCCGGTTATCTTGCGTTGCCTGAGGACAGGGCGCTCGCGCATCGATACCCTATTGAGTGCTAAGGATAGACTAACATGCTATGTTGCCGTGTCTAACAGAACAGATATAATGTGTTTGATTTCTAATTTAAAACTCTTAAAAATAAACTATAAAGATAAGGCTATATTACATAACTTAATCCCCCAGGCTTATTGGACTTTACTTTGTGAACAATGCTCAATTTAATACAGCCCCAGTGATGGTAACAGCAGCATTTCCTTTTTTAATTCTAATTTATAATTCTCATTCTAAATAATTTGTATTTTTCTGTAGATTAAACGGGTTCTTTAAGCATTTCAATTGAATATTGAACTAACGATTTAAATAAATTGCGAAAGCTCGTTTATTTTATAAAATCAATACGATTGGTCAAGAAGTTCATGAAGACGTTCATCAATTTCTTCATGTATCTATTATCAGTGCAATACTAGAATTACTTTTTGTCTATGGTTCTGCCTTAGGGCTCCTGGAATCTTGACCTATCCTTGAAGATCTTTAACGGGCAAGTAATCTAGTGGCTTTAAACATCATTGCTTTATCTCTGTTGCTCTATCTTCAAAATTCCTTCCTTTTTAAGGTCAACTTCTCAACGTCAGAATAAAAGTTGGTCAAACAAAGCTTCGTAAGTTATACAGTAGGGTGCACCGAATAACATGATAGTAATAAAAAATATGGTGACTGATCGCCGTAGTATACAGGGTAGCTCACTACTGCGGTATTCTTATATATCTCGATAATTGTTTATTTTATCCAAAAAATGTAAATACAAAACTCGTTGTCCTGCATGCACTAAAAATAGTTAGTATTATATAAGATAAGCTGACAGCATCTCACTTGCTTATTTTAAAGGGAACACCAGGTATATTATTTAAAAGTAACAGGTGCCTTCAGGTTTTCTTGAACCCTTAATCTGAATAGTTTTTATGATTTATGAGTTGTAACATTATTTTAAACACTGAACCTTTTAACCATATTTGGCTCATGGTAACTATGGAATCAGAATTTTGAAACAGTGTGTTCAAAATTAACCAATTAGTTACATAATTTTCGATGCTGCCGAGTCCGTTTTTTCAAATAGGTATATTATTACATGCTGTGCGGTAAAATTTAATTCTGCATTGATTAATTAGAGCTGTAAATTTTAAACAATACAAAAAACAAAATTAATGTAAATGATATGATATTATTGCTTCTATCGTTTTTGTTCAAACCCTGAATAAACTCTAGTATTTTTCGCATAATGAGCCTGATGATTATATGCGTCTGGATTTAAATCAGTAAAGTCATAGTCAATACTAACTGATAATTCCTTTCTAGTGTAAACAGATCTAAAATACACTACAGATCTTCTAAACAGCCACGGAGTGGAAAATCTAAGAGCTCCCAAACGGGTGGTCTGATATGTCACCTCCATAATTTCGTAACTGCTTCGACGTAAACAAAACCACAAATATATTTACCAAATATTGGTCAAAATAAATGTTAACGAGAAAGAAATTCGAGTTTGATATGCTTCTGACACAAAATCCGAAATAAAAAGATTGCTTTCGAAAAATCGTCGCTGGGCGGGGCAAGTTCGTAGCGCCTAGCGCGACACAGCTTCTTATTATAAAAGGAAAGAAACTTTCGCAAAATCGATGTAATTTCATTATGCATAGAAAAAGTCCTTCATATCTTGCCAGTTACAGTAAATATCGGTAAATATTAAAATTTGCACAAATAATAGCGTTGTCGAATGATATTTTTTTCAAATATCTCGCGCCCTGTATAATTGACGAAACTTGAAACTTTCTCTCGACACAGTTTGCACATCTTTAACGGTTTTTCATCATTTTTCATAGTTTTTTCAATAATTTACCCAGAAAAACGGAAATTGTTAGGATCTTTTAGATTTTTTGCCCCTGTACATGATTCAAACCATGTTCGAACTAGAGGTTATAGCCCTGGATCTTCCATGTTTCCTGGTCCAGGAATTTTTTGAAAATAGTAAATGGTTTTCGAGAAAATAAGCAAATAGTAAAACTGTAGCTCTTGATGCATTGTTTGAACCTATTAGCCATATTTTTTACGATTTTGAAAACCTAAAATACAAAAGTTTTTGCTGTCTATACGGGCTATATCGCATCGGGAACCCATTTTTTATTTTTTTTTTTAATTTGCGGCGCACCCTATATATATTTGAAAAATTGTCAAGAATATAAGTTTATGGAGCCGTATCTTCTGCGTCTTCTGGTTCAAGAATTTTTTGGTCTCGTAAAAATGATGTTTTTCGCAGACCCTTGCACACGCTATTTTTAATTTTTTTAGAATACTTTCCGACCCCCCCCCCCCCACTCTCAACAAATTTTCAATAGGTTCCGTCACGGGGCAAAGCTGCATATATATGCCAAATATGAAGTCGATGGCTTCAAATTTCAGACACTTATCAAAAACAGTCGAAAAAAAGATTTCTTACAAGATTATGTGCCTCGAGGAGGGTTAAAAAGGAGACAAATTTCAATTTTGTAGCTCCAATGGTTCGAAAGTTATTCAGGAAAAAGCAAAAGACGAGAACGGAGAACGGACAAACAGACAACAAAATAATTTTTTTTTTCGTCGGTGATCATTCCTGTTGCCGAGATATAAATTTTTTACACGAGCGTACATACTTTCGAAAATTTGGTATTCATCGATTTTCGAAAGTAACAAGAAAACGGTTAAAAATAAGTAGGAAGAAAAATATACTAATTGAATGTAGGATTCTTCCTCATGTGACCATGAAGTGCGACATTTAGGGGACAATTTTTAAAACAGCAAAAATTCGAAAATTAAGTAATCGCTCATCAAATTTTGGACACCATGTTTCGGGCCAATTAATTCTTCCGTTTCCGTGTATGGCATAAGCCTTTATCGTCAGTTAAAAATGACGAAGGGAAAAGGTGTTTTAGCCAATCAATGTAGAATTAAATTGTGCACACCACATATTTGAAAAAGAAGTGTATTCTAAAATGTTTATCTGATAAACCATTTTAATAATAGTTTGGAAAGGGTTATTCTCGTCTGTCTCTTTACCATTCAAAATAATGTTATATCGGAAGAAATTTTACACAAAATTATTACAGAATGCAAAAAACGGTGGGAGATTGTTGTGCGGTACCCTGTATATTAGCAACTCTTTCCATTGTTTAGAGTTTACTATTATATAAACAAAATATATAAAAATTAGTTACATTGTTAATGTTTTTTCAAGAAATCAAAAATGATTTGATATTTTGCATTTCGTTTTCCTTTTCATTGGATAATTAATTTCAATAATCAATAAATATAAATTGCAATCTACTACTACACTGGTATTCAATTTTCAATGTTCTTTGGATCTTTTCCGGACACAATCGAGAGAGATTTTAAGATATCAGTGGTACACAGGTTTTCCTCAATTTTATCAATTCCGATGCCTAAACCAATGACTATGTTTTCATAAATGCGGTGTATATTAACATCTCAAACAAAGGCATGATATTTAAAATCCACGTCCCTGCTAGCGATGCATTCAGTCCATGTTTACCAAATCATTCTGCTTTTTGTAAAGCTTTCTGCATAAGTTATTGTTTACTCACACATACAAATTGTGGTCATTTGAATAAGCTTTTTTTGGAATTGGTAACTCAGCCATTGCGTTCTACACTTGGTTTCTCTCTATGCTATCTTAAGCCTCTCTGGAATCTATGAACTGCTAACAACGACATTAATGAAGAAATCAAAGGTTAAACCTGGCATGTAAATCGTAAAGTCGAAAAGTCTAACAAAAACTTCAAAAATAAAGTATATAAAACCCATAATAACATATGGAAGCAAAACGTGGATAATGAACAAAGCAGATGAAAATTAACTCAGACGCTTAGAAATGAAATTTCTCAGGAAGATTTTTGGACTCTACCACGATCAAATCACCATTAGAACCAACACTTGGGTCCGGGAGCTGTGGTAGCGACATTTTCTAGGAGGCTAAATCCAAACGACTAAGAAGGACAGGACATGTCCAAAGGCTGAATAACTCAAGACTTGGAAAACTCATGTGGGAGGAGATCACAACAGAAAGCGTCAGAGGGACAACATCAAATGAGACCTTCAAAAAGTGAACACCCCTTTTGATTATAAGTTGATACAATACAGGGTAGTCAAATAAATTTCTTTCACAATAATTATTTATTTGCACACTGGTAAATAAATGGTATAATATTGTGCTTCTAATATTCGTCGTTTTCAAATGGATGGTGTTTGTGTCCCAACGCCCTGCAAGTAAAAATGTGGCTAATTACAATATAAAGTCATATGAAATATATAGGCACTTACGCTGTCATAGGCACCAATCTTCCGTTACAGTCGAAAGCGTTCAACTTCTCAATATCCTCTTTCGACAAACTGAAGTCGAATATTTCGAAATTTTGCTGGATTCTCGATTTGGTTACCGACTTAGGGATCACGATGATGCCTCTATCGACCTGGTAACGGAGCAATACTTGAGCGGAAGTTTTGTTGTATTTTTTAGCGATTTGTAACAGTTTAGGATCGTCCAAAAGTTGAGGATCATCAGGTTTAGCCCACGGGCGATCAGGTGACCCTAAAGGACTGTACGCTGTCACCGTAATTCCTTTCGATCTAGCAAAGTCTATGAGTTTGCTTTGATTCAAGTAAGGATGGCACTCGACCTGCAATTCCCAAATGAATATTCGGCCAAAGAAAACTAGACCTCGCACAGTGGGCCAGGGAAACGTTAGGTGTTTGACTAATTCGATTTTTTCGTAATGCTAATTAATTTTACTTAATATTAATAAAAACACAACAATAAAATGAAAAATTATTACGAACATCAAATTTTAATACTAAATGATTTTTATACAGGATGTTCACAAAAACAGTTTTTAATTAAATCATGAAAACGGTTTAATAACACTACACAAAAGGTAGAAACATTTTGAAATAATTATATTTAAGTAAATAAAATAATAATAATAAATTTTTTTACAAAAAAAAATTATTTATTTAATATAGATTAAAACTTTGTTTGCTTGAAAGAAACGAAATAAAACAATACCCGGGTACAGTTAAGTATTTTGCTCTGTTTTCAATACTGCTGGTTTACCCGAAGCTTTTAAACTGATTTTTTCCAACCATTCTGTATACCTCGTCAAAAATCTTTTTTTAGTCCTGTTTGCCGCCTGCCATTTTCTTCGAAATTGGAAAAAATATTTATTTGTGAAAGATTTTGTAAGTTTTTGCTTTTGATTTCTACAATCTTGACATGTACTCCCAAGTAAAGTTTCTTTTATTGATACTTTATGTTGACGGGCCTCATACAAAGACTTTATCGAAATCGAGTGATTTTTAAATTCTAAAAAAGAGCCTCATTTTAGTTCAATTATTGTTAAAAAACGAATAGATAGAAAAAATAAAGTAAAAGCATTTATTTTGATCTGAGCTAGGTTGCCATCTTAACAATTAATATTTTTAAATGGGCTGATCCGATTTTAGCAACTGCTACGAGGTTGTGTGTGGCGGAAATAGAGCTTTCCTAGTAATTAAAAAAAGGTTAAAAACTTTCTCAAAATATAAAAATAAACCGATCCCTGTGAAAAATTAACAATTTAACTGCCATCTTCGATTGTAAGATCGCGGGCAAAAATATTTCGGTTTAAAACCTTGATCGATTTCCCGCAAAGTGCAATTTCTTCCAATAAATTTGGCCACATATGTCAAAACTTATAACGAAAAACATTTTTCTCCTTTTTTTGCCCATCCGGTAAGTTCTTTGAAAGTTATTTTTGTAAAATGGAGCAGGTGGGAGCAAGATTGTTTCTTACACGTAACACCACAACATGTTAGTTTAATACATTGTATCAACAGCATCCCTAAATTATGCTAAAATTGTAACATATTGCTTAATAAATTACAAACATATATTTTTGGGTTATTTTTTTAATATGACTCAAAACAATGTAGGATTTTTTAAGGATAATTGCGTTTTAGAGTAATTTACTTAGCATAAAATTAGTCACAAAACTTACCTTTACTTTAAAAAAAAATCCCCTCCACTTTTCAAAAGGAAAATTGTATAAATAAAAGATCCTCAAAATCAAATTGACAACAAACGTTACAAAATTATTGTTGACGTTTCCATGGTAACAAGGCAACTTAAATAGTTTGTTTTGTGAAGATTCATGGCCTACTGTGATAAGAAAAACGTTCAATGTACGAAATGTGCTATGGGTTCATTTCAATAATTTGGGTTCTCCCTGCCCACCGTGCGTCGCAAGAACACTTACTTGCAGATTGGCCGGTTGGATTTTGGCAACCGCGAGAACTCTTTCGATCTGCTTTTTATTGAAATTGGATAATCCGATGGATTTGGCGAGTCCCTTTTCTACCAGTTTTTCCAGCGCTTTCCACGTATCTACGTAATCGACATCGCTAAAAACAATGTTGCCCTCGCTATCTCTCGGGAAAATATCCGCGTCCTCTTTGTATGCCATAGGCCAATGGATGAGGTAGAGGTCGACATACTCCAGTCCCAAATCGGCCAACGAAATTTTGAGATTTTTCTCAACGAGGTCGGGTCTGTGATAAGTGTTCCACAATTTCGTGGTGATGAAGAGATCTTCTCTTTTGACACCACCTTCTGAAAATTTGGCTTTCAAAGCTTTGCCAACTTCTTGCTCGTTCTGGTAAACGTGGGCGCAATCTATATGGCGGTACCCGATATCGATGGCGTCTTTTACTGCTTGTTCTACTTCGCCAGGTTTCGACTAAAATCAGACATTCCGTAGGTTATAAATTATTACTATCTTTAAAACCGTATAGCTAATGCAGCTACTAAAAATGTGAAGCCATCAATGCGATAAGGGACTAAGCCCAAAATTCTCATTTGAAGATATGGAAGATGGAAATTCTTTTAAAAAATACAAAAGCAAATAGAGTTTACTTTATACATATTTTTCTACCGGGACGAGTGCCTATTAGTGCATGCTGAATATATTGTTTAAATTTTGGAGATTTTTGATTTTGATGTGCGGTAGCCCGTTTTCGCATCGACTTTCTGGGTTTCGTGAATGGTCGCATTAAGAACTACATATTAAATTGAAATGTATGATGCAAAATCTAATATTAACATTCTTCATCACTAAAAGCACATCATCCACATTATGTTGCGAATTGGTCCATTATAGTAGCCATGTTTCTAATCAGTGAGGTGTGACGTTAACTTCATTGTTTGAGTATTTGTAAGAAATTTTAAATGGCGCCTCAAAAGAAAGTATTAGCCACTGCATCTTTAACCACTCGATCTTAAATTTATTTACGTCAATTTTGCGGTTGTAATGTCATTTTTCTTTCTTTTTTTTTTAGAAAAGAGTATTCTTACTTTTTATAAAACTTCTGAAGTCCTCCTGCGTTGATTTTTGTTGACTCGAAATAGCTAACGTTACAGTAACCTGTGGAAGTTTCTTTGAAAAACTAAGAGTATTAGTTTTCTACTCCCTTCTGTAAACTACCTAGTTATACGCCGATTTAGCGTGCGGAAAGTATCACTTTAACACGTGAGTTTCTTGTCCTACGGATCCGATCCATTTCGGCCATTTCCGGGACATTACCGCACGGATTGAGTAATCGGATGTTTTCGGAGATTTTACCGCACGGCTTGAATTTTGACGTTTGTCGACTCTGAAGTGTCAGTGAACGTATTCGTGTTGTTTTGCGAAATTGTACCCAAAAACTAAGGGTTTAGTAAACTTTTAAGGGCACTGGTTTATTGAACACTTGCTCCGCTCGTACCAGATAAAATCACGACTTAAATGACGTTTACCGCACTTGTTGCATATCATGCTATTATTTTAAAGCTTTTTTTTGCTTACAGTTAAAACAACCTTATTCCATTCCCCTGGAATAAAGACGTTAGGGATTTTTTTTTATTTTAACTCACAAAAATTTTTGATCTATTTTTTCCACTGTATATTCAGGACTAGAAACGACTTACTGGATAAGCATATATGATTAAATGTAAATGTAAAAGTTTTTATAAAATACAAAATACAAGACCCGATTTCTTAGGGATCCCGACAAGCTACTGATTCATCATTAACATCATTGTTCCCCAAGTTGTGTATTCCGAAGCAATACGTCTACGGTTCCTGCTTATAATAGCACACGCCTGTAGATAGCAGCGGGGTAGGTAACTCCCTAATCAGATCAAATATGATAACTGATAGTTCCCAGCTCATTGTATTTCGAAAAAAGTCCTTACATACCTAAACTTCTGCTCCAGTTCAATCCAACAAAGAATAGAAATGCCTTTCTTGTCTTTGGGGATTGGGCTTTTGAGCATAAACGCGTTGTTTTTGGCATAATTTTACAATAGTAAATAAAAATGAAGCTTGTTTATTATATTTCTGGAGATTGTAGACTTTAGTGAGAATTTGTGTTTGTCGTTCCTGATTTATTTTTGTATGGCACTTATTGTTATAACGATATGGACCCGCCTTTAATTTTATTGTGGCAAATTTTATGTCAATGTATATTTATATTTATTTTCCAGGTTTTCCTTTTTTTTTTTCTCGTTTTTTTCCTTTCATCAGAAGGCCCCAAATCCCAGCCATTTTCGCTGGAAGTGTCGCTAATTCCTGAAAGATTGTATTTAGAACCAGCAGTAAAATAAATAGTATGTTTTTACCTCTTCTGCTCAAAATGCCTAGTGCAAAAAAATTAAAGAATTAAGGACAATTTTTAAATGCAATAGTGGTTTATGGGTGACCATCTAGTAAGTATATAGGAAAGGTGGAGTAGGCCATTTTTACGTTTCTTTTTACTGTGTTACGGATATTAAGACTATTCCATTCAACATGAGGTTTAAAATCTCGTCTATAATTTTTGATATGGCACAAAGTGCAAATAAGTAGTTAAAATGTATTGTATGCGCGGAAAATCTTTCCTTTCTCTACAAAAATTTCAATTCCGCCCACGGCGTATCAATTTTTACCGAAATAGGGAAGCTACATTATCCATATGCTTAAAGCTAATAGCACCGAAAGTGAAAATTCTAGTTCACGCGCATTCTTTTAAGGTTGTCTTAATACGACCCTGTGCTTTATTAATAACAATTAAATAAGTATGGAATATTCCTATACGGGATGAATGTAAAATTTTGGCACCTTTGGGAAAATTCCAGTGAATATTCAATTCAAAATTCAATGTCACTGAACTTTGTAATTATTTACTAGACAAAGTGATTCATGGCGAATGGTAGGTTAGAATTTTAAAGTGTTCGAGACGACGGACGGTTCCGAAAATTTGGTAGTTTCCATAAGCGAGAGCGATCTATCAATCCAAATATAAATTAAGCGATGCGACGTTGCCGTTTATTCGTAAAAGTAGCATCAACTTTGATATTTTTGTATAGTACGTCTTGCACACATTTTTGGTTATTCTTTACATAAATATCGGTTATCAAGAAATTAATTTTTTGTTGAGAACGTAGCTCCCACTAAATCTTTATTATTATTATTTTAGTAATTGTTAATTTGAATGATGAATCGTTCCTAGTATGTATTTTGAAAAAATAACCACTTGTCTGTGACCATGTATATGATGTATGTGTATATGACGAAATATATACTCTGTGACTTAGGTTAGATTCAATTATCTGTGTCCGGCAGCTTACAGGTGTAAGGTAACTTGATGTATCAGTTATTTCATTCGACGCTCTGCGTTTACTGGGTGATTGACTACACAATCTCCAAACCACAGCAAAATTAATAATATGACTTTATTTTATTACACAATACAAAAGGCGAAGTTGAAGTTACACTTCCTCACTTAAGCTACAAAAGTCGTATATTAGACAGCTGTGATATGTAATATGTAATGGGAATAGGGATGGCCCAAGGATTGTGACACTTTTAGGATTCGATTCAAAGTTTCACACATTGTGTTTTGTCCTTGAGGCAGAGACCTATAAGCTGCATAATAGCTAAAAGTAGCTTATGGTTTCATCTGTCAACAATATCTAGATGAATCGGAGCTGTCACCACATCATCAGATGCCTCCGAAATATCATCCCTGACCTTCATTAATGCAACAGCACAACTCCGACAAATTCACTCTGTAATCCACAGATATATAGGAATATGCGTAGCTTAACCAAGTTGACAAAAAAAATTTTTTTTGAATGTATAGAGATACAACGTATACACAGAAAATAATCTGAACATAGGTCATAAAAATTGCTAAGTAAGATTTAGACTATTAATAAATTAATAATTCACCTGCGTTTTGGGAAACGAACCAGACGAATCCATATCGTTTAAGCTGTGTAGTGATTCTGCAGCCCTCCCTTACCTGAGGCTTACGCAAACACTTGGACTTTATGTTTATTTTAATACAGTAGCGTTACAATATTGTTTATATATTGATAATTACTCGGTGCTAACAAAGATAAAATATCACATTAATATTTGAAATGAACGAATGCATTTATAACCTTTAATCGTTACGATTCGCACCACAAGGAACTTCCAGAGACACACTCTGGCAATACTCTTGAAATAATCATGCCCTGTACTCTCGTAATCATTTTGATAGTTTCAATACAAAAACTACAGGCTCATGTGGGGCCAAAAAAGTTATTTTTTTCTTGTAGATAAAGTTTGTACCAAAATGTGAAAACTTTTTATACACGTTGTTCCGCTACTGATATAGAAATAAAAAAATCTTATGAAATATCGTGTACATATTTGAAAAAAACTTAAGAATAATTTCTCATCAGTGTACCGCGCTACCGCAGAAGGCAAGTATTGTTGTTATGTTTGAATTCGTAGAGAACTGCAATTTTAGCTGAAGTTATTTTATGTACACAAAAATCTGAATACTTCATTAATTCAAAAGAGAAAATGAAATACGTGCCACATCATTCATGTTAAAAGGTCCTTCCAAATATATAAAATATACAGAGTGTGCTTTTTAAAAATTTTACGGATATTAAGACTATTCCATTCAACATGAGGTTTAAAATCTCGTCTATAATTTTTGATATGGCACAAAGTGCAAATAAGTAGTTAAAATGTAATGCATGCGCGGAAAATCTTTCCTTTCTCTACAAAAATTTCAATTCCGCCCACGGCGTATCAATTTTTACCGAAATAGGGAAGCTACATTATCCATATGCTTAAAGCTAATAGCACCGAAAGTGAAAATTCTAGTTCACGCGCATTCTTTTAAGGTTGTCTTAATACGACCCTGTGCTTTATTAATAACAATTAAATAAGTATGGAATATTCCTATACGGGATGGATGTAAAATTTTGGCACCTTTGGGAAAATTCCAGTGAATATTCAATTCAAAATTCAATGTCACTGAACTTTGTAATTATTTACTACACAAAGTGATTCATGGCGAATGGTAGGTTAGAATTTTAAAGTGTTCGAGACGACGGACGGTTCCGAAAATTTGGTAGTTTCCATAAGCGAGAGCGATCTATCAATCCAAATATGAATTAAGCGATGCGACGTTGCCGTTTATTCGTAAAAGTAGCATCAACTTTGCTATTTTTGTATAGTACGTCTTGCACACATTTTTGGTTATTCTTTACATAAATATCGGTTATCAAGAAATTAATTTTTTTGTTGAGAACGTAGCTCCCACTAAATCTTTATTATTATTATTTTAGTAATTGTTAATATGAATGATGAAGCGTTCCTAGTATGTATTTTGAAAAAATAACCACTTGTCTGTGACCATGTATATGATGTATGTGTATATGACGAAATATATACTCTGTGACTTAGGTTAGATTCAATTATCTGTGTCCGGCAGCTTACAGGTGTAAGGTAACTTGATGTATCAGTTATTTCATTCGACGCTCTGCGTTTACTGGGTGATTGACTACACAATCTCCAAACCACAGCAAAATTAATAATATGACTTTATTTTATTACACAATACAAAAGGCGAAGTTGAAGTTACACTTCCTCACTTAACCTACAAAAGTCGTATATTAGACAGCTGTGATATGTAATATGTAATGGGAATAGGGATGGCCCAAGGATTGTGACACTTTTAGGATTCGATTCAAAGTTTCACACATTGTGTTTTGTCCTTGAGGCAGAGACCTATAAGCTGCATAATAGCTAAAAGTAGCTTATGGTTTCATCTGTCAACAATATCTAGATGAATCAGAGCTGTCACCACATCATCAGATGCCTCCGAAATATCATCCCTGACCTTCATTAATGCAACAGCACAACTCCGACAAATTCACTCTGTAATCCACAGATATATAGGAATATGCGTAGCTTAACCAAGTTGACAAAAAAAAATTTTTTTTGAATGTATAGAGATACAACGTATACACAGAAATTAATCTGAACATAGGTCATAAAAATTGCTAAGTAAGATTTAGACTATTAATAAATTAATAATTCACCTGGGTTTTGGGAAACGAACCAGACGAATCCATATCGTTTAAGCTGTGTAGTGATTCTGTAGCCCTCCCTTACCTGAGGCTTACGCAAACACTTGGACTTTATGTTTATTTTAATACAGTAGCGTTACAATATTGTTTATATATTGATAATTACTCGGTGCTAACAAAGATAAAATATCACATTAATATTTGAAATGAACGAATGCATTTATAACCTTTAATCGTTACGATTCGCACCTCAAGGAACTTCCAGAGACACACTCTGGCAATACTCTTGAAATAATCATGCCCTGTACTCTCGTAATCATTTTGATAGTTTCAATACAAAAACTACAGGCTCATGTGGGGCCAAAAAAGTTAATTTTTTCTTGTAGATAAAGTTTGTACCAAAATGTGAAAACTTTTTATACACGTTGTTCCGCTACTGATATAGAAATAAAAAAATCTTATGAAATATCGTGTACATATTTGAAAAAAACTTAAGAATAATTTCTCATCAGTGTACCGCGCTACCGCAGTATTGTTGTTATGTTTGAATTCGTAGAGAACTGCAATTTTAGCTGAAGTTATTTTATGAACACAAAAATCTGAATACTTCATTAATTCAAAAGAGAAAATCAAATACGTGCCACATCATTCAAGTTAAAAGGTCCTTCCAAATATATAAAATATACAGAGTGTGCTTTTTAAAAATTTTAATTTTATGTCAATAGCAACGCAAACAATTTTTAAAAATAAAAAGTTATGTAACACTGTTCAATTTGTAGGATTCGTATAAGCGCCATCTAGGGGTGAAACGCCAAGCCAATTTGTGTACGCATAATTCAAAAAATGTTTGGAAAACTCTGTGTACTGACTTAATGTAAAAAGTATAAAATGTTATTTAATTGTGATGATAGATTTCACAGAGCCACACCCTTTTCTCAAAATATTTAGACGCATTAGTTTTATTAGAGACAAACTTAATAATCAAATATACTTGCTATTATACTCGCGCCAATCTACATTACAGGACGACTAAGGAATAGGCATAAAAATTCGAACAAAATTATATACTGCGGCCGGAGCCGGCGCATTCGCCAAAATGATGTATACGATCCACATTAAATCAGAACGGTTTTGGCAATAAAATACTCAAATTAGAATTACACATCATTTTTAAAAACATCTAGCTTACCTTCCATGTGCCGAGACCAAAGATGGGGATCTCGTTGCCATTATTGAACTTAACCTTCGGGACTTTGGCAGCCATTTTAACTAACGCTTGCGACTCCCGTTAGTCTTTGTAATTAACTGGACGCGATTTTCGTTTGATTTAATATTATAAGAGCTTTTTGAATTACTTTAGCTTGGTTCTTATCTTTTCAATTGCTGAACGAAATTACATACGCAAATTCGATACTAACGCTTGAGAATGTTTCAAGGTTGCGTCGTGCTTCTTTCGATAACGGATTACGATAGGATGTACCGACAGAATGCAGTATGTGAATATGGCGCTTGTGTGTCGAGTGGTTTGTAATTGCGGAAAAAAGTGTTTAAATAAATAGAATTTTGTTTGCTGTTTAATTGGGAATGGAGATAGGAAATTGAAATGAAATTAAAAATCGATAATAAACGTGGTAACGATTGAAAACAACGTTATATCAATGGTGACGCATTGTTCTGGAAGTAAATTTTACCTAGTAAAAATATTGCAAACAACAATAAAATTGTATAATCCTCTAGTAAAATTTTAAGCCACGGAAAAATCGTCCCCAAAGAGTCTCCAAAATGTCTTTACGGAAAGAATGTGGTTGTGTTTAGTATGTCTCAAATTATTGAATGAAAGAAAAAAAGTTGACCATTTTCAATCTCACCGTCTAAAACAAGATTGCTTTCGAAAAATCGTCGGTGAGCGGGCCAAGTTCGTAGCAAATAGCGCGAATTATCTTTTTATTTTAAAAAGAAGGCGCTTCGCGGATTCTTGTCCTAGAGAGACGCATTGCTTTTTTATCGTGCTCCTGCGGACCACTATGGAACTTTCGCAAAATCGATGTAATTTGATTGTGAATACACCCTGTATAAAGTGTCCTTCACATCTCGTCGAACTTCAAAGTTACGGCACATTTCGGTAAATATTAAAAGTTGTACTGGTAATTGCAATTTAAAATTATATTTTTTCTAATATCTTGCGACCCCTGTATTATAGACGAAACCTTAAACTGATTCTCGACACAGTTTACGATACATGTTTCATGTATCGCCAATAATTCACCCACAAAAGCGGAAATTTCCTGGATCTATTAGCAAAAAGCCCACAAACGACGTACCCTGTATATAATTCCCACAATGTTAGAAATAGAGGAAATAGCCCTGGTAATATTGAATGACGTCATCGCATCTAGAATGAGGGCGAGATTTTCTTTTGGATTATTTCAAATATCTCGAACAGCGTATGTGATAGACGAAAACCGTAAATACAAAAATTGTAGCCTATAACACTGTTTGAACGGATTATCTATTGTTTGTACGAATTTTGATTTGCGGTTAATAATTTACTCTCTAAAAGGACAATTTTCAGGGTCTTAGATTTTTGTCCATAACTGAAACACCTTGTATATAAGCGAAAAAATGCGTGAAACAAAAGTTCTAGCGCCCGGTCTCCCACGTACAACGGATGCAAAATTTTTCCGATCGGATGAATGGTTTTGGAGGAAAATCTGTTTTTCTGGATGCCAAAATAACCACAAAAAAAAATCAAAAATAAAAAAAATACTTCGCGTTATTTTATTGCTCCCAATTTAAAGAGTCTAAATAGGGTTCCAGACTTCTACTTCTCTCCCAAGTATGAAGTTTGTAGCTGCAAATTTGGAGTACTTATTATAATATTGCACGGAATATCGCGAACACTCTGTACAATACTTAAAAACCGTAGATACAAAACTTTAAGCTGTCTATATGGTCGATATCGTCATGTAAAAGAAACTGACATCTAAAACACAGATTTGAAATTATTGTCAATTTTCAATAATAGGGGGACCCATTTTTCGGTTTTTTTGAATTTGCGGCGCACTCTGTATATTCTTGAAAAATTGTCGCGAATAAAAGTTTATAGAGCCGTATCTTCTGCTTCTTCTGATTCAAGAATTTTTTTGGTCTCATAAACAGTTTTTGAAAAATGATGTTTTATGTAGACCCTTGCACACGCGATTTTTTATTTTTTTAGAATACTTACCGACCCCCCCCCCCATTTTCAATAGGTTCCGTCGCGAGGCATATATGTGCCAAATATGAAGTCGATTGCTTCAAATTCGAACACTTACCGTGTTTCATAGCAAGGTCCAAAAAACAGTCGAAAATCGCGAAAAAAAGATGGATACCGGCGTCGGATCAGGGCCATTTCTTATAAGCTTATGTGCCCCGTGGAGTGTTAAAAAGGAGGCAAATTTCTATTTTGTAGCTAAAATGGTTCGAAAGTTATTCAGGAAAAAGACGAGAACGGAGAACGGACAGACAATTTTTTTTTTACGGTGATCATTTCTGTACCAACAGTCATCCCGTAAGACTTACCGTTACCGAGATATAAAATTTTTAGATACTTTCGAAAATCGATACAAAATATAAGAAGAAAAATATAGATAGACACTTTATGCTTAAAGAATAATAGAATTGTGGCAAGTCATATTGTACGCATTAAGAGGGAGTTACATACAAAATACTAGGTAGCATCATTTGTTATTGTGACGGTGTCCATGTTCTCTCGCACGGAGCAGAGACAGTGTTTTTGAAGGAACTTTTAAATTTTTGATTAATAAGTGCCCTAACATTTGATAGTAGTTTTTTTTGGCATTTAGCATATTTAAATTTCTTGTTGCGAATGAAGTCACTTTTTCGTCTAGGATAATCATGGATTGCAGCTTCAGCGCGTCTTTGTCTCTACGTTCTTTAAGCAGTTGATAGTAGATGTACAGACATACTAGCGGCATGATTTCCAATCTTTGAAATATAGGTTTGCAATGCTCAAAATAACCAGCACACGCTATTACTCTAACTACCTTCTTTTGAACAGCTCGATCAGGTGCAGAAAAGTCACTTCACAGGAAAATACCCAAAGTTAGGTGTGAGTGGAAGAGAGAGTAATATGTCATTATTAATGTTTCCTTTTTTAATTCGCAGACTACAAAAATACTAGATGACGGTGTTTTACAAAACAAATTGATATAGAAATCATTCGGTGTAATCCCCAAAAATTTTACACTAGCACCCATCACCAAGCTATATTTGTTGAAAACACAGGGTACCACAAATCTTCTACTACTAATATTGCGTCTCTTGAGCATAGCTAATAATCGACGGATCGTCTCCATAAAAAAATGCATTTATTGGGGGACAACAAGTGACATAGATCGTTAATGTACACAGTAAAAAGCAGCGTACCCTGTGTCCACGCTTCTTAATTCTGACATTTCAGTTTTATAGATCACACATCGTCTCCTAGATGACATGTATGACTTAATAAGATCCAATTGTCATGAGAAGCGCAGTCGAAGGTCCACTCAAGATCCTTCACTACAGCTCCCACAACCCTACAGAATGACTGTATGGCTTTACTATACAAACATTAATATTTAATTGTGTAAAGTCGAACTGAGCATTGCATATACTATATAAATAGCAGATTTTTTTTTAATCACTTTTTTAATTATTTTATTAGTATTATATTTGATTATTCTAATTATTTTTGGCAGTGGCGGAACTATAGAATGGTGGCCTGTTTGCTAAATTTGTTTCTCCCTTTTTTAATACACCTCTTGTCACCTTAAAACATTCAGGGTAAATTGCCTCATCGACGCATCTGTTAAAAAGGTTAGTAAGGGGTGCCAAAATAAATTCAATAAACTCTCTAATAATAAAATACTGTTAATATCAAAATAATCAAAGGAATCCGATTTTTTGAAGTCGGTAATGCAGCCTAAAACATCATCCCCCAGCAAACCTATGTAGAAAGAAAGTTGGTGAAACAAAATGTATGCCTAATCCAATTATTCGGCAGACATCTCTAATTCTGTTACATGATCCACTAATATACTTGTCATGGGCCTCCAGCTTAGTATTTTTAATAAACTTCCTATAATTATTTTAAACAGACGTAGAGGACAGTTCTCAGTTCTGTTAGCAGCAGCAGCTAATAATTTTTTGCCATATTATTTATCTCATCATCAAACGACCATAGTAATGATCTCCCGCAATCAAATCTTTTTAAAGGAAAATTTTTATTAAAAATTACCTGAATCTTACCTATTAAGAAAACGGAAAATCTACAACACTTTTTAATATATGTTTTCAGCATAGTGAAAACTCCCTATAGCTAAACTCTGCATAACGTAAAACTCTCTATTACGAACAAAATTTGTTGTACTACTAGGTTTCCATACAAAGCTATATCCATTCTGTATAATGAATTTCTCGCTCTCTATATCGAAAGAAAAAAGGGCACATCGATAACAAAGTAAGGAATGTAGGCCTACTTGTAATTACTAGAGTCTCTTACCGTCTTAGAATTCCTTACCCTAATAATCTAATTACCGAGAACCTGGTCGTCCACACTATTGTTTCAATCAGTTCTAATTTGAATTAGTGAATACGGCGAGCATGGCGAGTAAGCGAAAAATGTTATCTCTAGATGATAAAGTTGCTTTAATTCGAGAGATAGAACGGGGAGAAAATAAAAATGATGTGGACGTAGATAGGGACTTACATCGTCTACTGTATCCACGATTTGGAAGTGCAATGGAAAAATCATTCAGGCTGAAACAGCAGGCAGTTCTAGTAAAAAACTAAGAAAGCCAACAGTAGTTCCAACAGCAACGTCTTAAAAATGTATCATTCTCTGGACCTATCGTAAAACTAAAGGCAGAAAAGTTCGGAAGGATGGTTGGGCAAGTTCAAACAGAGACAGGAAATTTACCATTAAAGCTTGGAAAGCGGTGACAGCAGAAACAATTCAACATTCCTATCGTCATCCAGAACTAATTACCGAAGACAGAATGTGAACAGGAATTGGAGCATCCACTAAGCGAGTGCATAAAGCAGTTTCAAACAACAATTACGTTTACAAGTGAAGAGTTGCAAGGTTTTATGGTGATAGATCAGGATTGCAGCAGACTTGACAGAGGAAGCCATATTACAACAAGCAAAAGAGGGTGAAGAAGAGCACCAAGAATAAGAAGAAGATGAATAAGTTGATCTGGGACCACCACCAATCATTCAACAAGCCCTATGTTCAGTTAAGCTGGTAGAGAAATTTTTTATGCATCATAGGGAAGATTCCCCTCTCGAAAAAATGGTGGAAATACAAGCCAAAGTACGAAATGCGTATTGGCATACTAAAAAAATTCAAAAGAATATGACCGATTATTTATATAAGTAGTATAAGTATCCTAAGTAGATGTTAAAATATGTATATAAAAT